CAGACTTCCCAATAAAGCTCAATTAGAAGTCTTTGTAAGGCAGGTGCTCTGGGCAATTGCTGCCTCTTGAGTTTAGCTCCACTGAGCAAACCAGGAAGTAACAGGCCCTATAGACTGATTGACAGGCAGGGGAGTGTTGCAAGGTTAATTTATAAAAGTGCCAATTTCTATTGAAATAAGCACTCTTTGTAATATGTAAACAGAGGACACTCTTCACACACAAAGCTTTACAGCAAGCTGGAGTGCTTTAGGGGTCCTCAGTTTCCCTTTAACCTTCAGTATATAGTATAATGTGATGTGCCAAAGGAAAAGCATACATTAACAGATATATCGATAAATAATTCCATTACACAAAGTTAATCAGTTAAACGTGTATACCTTATTTAAAGCTTTATTTTTAAACTCCAAGGTCCACAATGTTTAGCAACATCTTGGCTTAAAGGTGGTCAGTGTAAGTCTACTAAAAAAAAGTAGTGTAAACAATAGTTAAATAAAACAAATGCCCATACTGGGTCTCTAAAAGGGGGTATAGTATTTTTTGTATACATGTTAAAAAATTTACTAATGTGTAAATTGCTCATAAACTTGATACATTTTTGCGAAGATTCAAACACAGATTAAAAATTATTTGTAAATTGTAGACTTTCTGAAATGAGATGGGGACTATGCAGAGCAGGCAGAACCTCCTCTGTTTAGCCAACAGGACGCTGACGGGATTGTGTGGACAAGTATGATAAGAGAGTTACCTAGCACAAAATTACTTAATGATGAATTGTCACTTTCTCAATTTTAACACAACGCAGCAGCTAACTAAATGTTATCTATAGTTTGAGCTATTTCTTCTTCTCTTTACATTTCTGATAGTTTGTTTTATTTTCATTGACATGTTTTACCAGGCAAAGTCAGCCATAGAATTTATATTAGTGGACTCTTGAAGTGCTGTACGCATACGGCATTCTTGGAGAACAAGCTGAGCGTGCGTATACGTCTATGGTGTTTATCCATTGCCCGATTTTGGGACACCAACGTTTTTTTTATTAGTTTTTCACCTGGTAGATGCTGAAATAGTGTTTACTGGATTGAAGAGACAAGGAACTCGCACTTCTGGAAGTGACAATTCCGCTTTAAACTTGGCTATTCAATAACCTACAAGGATTGTTCTTATCTGACTATTATAAAACAAAGTCAATCTACACATTCTTAAGGATGCAGAATATTCCTGTGTCTGGGAGGTTTAAGGAACACTTCAAGTATCATAACCTATACACCTCCCTGTAGTGTTTATGGTGCTAGAAGTGCCCTGGTGCTCAGTGGTGTATTCTGGTTTTGTGCTGCCCTAGGCATGATAAAAATCAGGCATCCTCCCCCCTTCCAAATTATCTTCCTGACAGACAAACACCCTCATTGATGCATGCAATGACATACACTGATACACAGTCATTGTCACACACACTGTTTAACCAACACACGCTTTCACTGAAACATACACATTCACTCATTCCCAGTTACACTCACACACAGTTACACACACACCCCACATTCACAGACAGACACACATACACAATAACTGAGAGACACACATTCACTGACAGACATATACACACTCACTGACAGACACAAACACTGACAGACACTCACTGACAGATACACACTCACTGACAGAAATGCATACACACTCACTGACAGACGCACACTTACTCAGTGTCAGACACACACACACACTGAGACACACATATACTCAATGACAGATACACACTGACAAACACACATACACACACTGAGACACACATATACTCAATGACAGATACACACTGACAAACACACATACACACTCACTAACAGACATATATACACTCAGTGTCAGACAAACACATCCACTGACAGACACACACTGACAGACACACACTGACAGACATACACATTCACTTAGACACTCACTCTCAGTGACAGACATGCATACACACACTGACACACTTACTGACAGACACATATACACTCTCAGTGTCAGACACACACACTCTTTGGCAGACACACGCACACACTCTCACTAACAGACACACACACTCTCACTAACAGACACAGACTAACACTCACTAACAAACACACTCTCACTAACAGACACGCACACACTCTCACTAACAGACACACACTAACACTCACTAACAGAGGCACACACTCACTAACAGAAACACACTAACACACTCACTAACAGAGACACACACTAACACACTGACTAGTTAATGTTAATGCACAGTAGGTGTGTGTTTGTTTCTGCTTCTCCTCGCATAACATGGCAAAGAAACAAGTATAAATGTAAGGATTGCCTGGATTAGCTCAGCCACTTCCTGGTGTAATGTAGAGAGACCTGAGAGATTGCTCAGATCCCTGGGAAAACATGCATATAATTTCCAATTTTGGATAAGTATGATTTATTCTATCAATATTACTTATAGCAATGTGTTCTACATAGAGTGGATAATAAATTTGGTGGCAGAGTGGAGAAAGCTGTAACTCCCTTACTTGAGAAATCGGCTCCTTGTCACCACTACAATTAAAATCCTCCCTTGGCTGGCTCACATTGGAGGCGCCTCTCAGTGATGCAGGAGCTGGAGTGATATATTGGCTCCGGCATCACTGCGGTGCTCAGGGTACAGAGCTCCCTCGCCGCCCGCCTCCATCACAAGCATACGCCAGCCTCGGTGGGGCCCTAAGGTGGCCTGCCTGCCAGCTCCTGGCCCCCCCAGGACAAAAGGCTGGCAAGGCAACTGCCAGGGTGATTGGGGTGGCTTTTTTGCCGTCTTCCTGAAAGTGCTGCCCAAGGCAAATGCCTTGTCAGCCTCGCGCTAAATACAGTGCTGCATGTGACCCCCATGTAGTGAAAAGTGGATTCACTTTTTATCTGGTATTTGTCTGGCCCCTCTCCCCATCTCCATTACTGTAGACAGAGAACTTTTCAAGTTCACTGTCTGAGCTAAGTTTGTAGTGCAGGGCTAAGCTCATTGGCTGAAAGCAGTCAGCTGACACTTTCATTCAATGCACTAGGATGCAGGAATTAGCTCAGGAGCTTCTGATGAAAGTTCTGGTTCTCGTACATTAGTAGTTAAAACGGAGTGGTACCTAGGACCACAGATAAGAAGTAACTGTTCTAAAACAATTTAAGTTACTTTCAATGGGGGAGCAAGAAGATAACTATTTAATTTTAATAATGTATCAGAATAAAGCTAGTACCCTTTATTTTCTTGATTTGTGTATAGTCTGAAACTGAACCCCATTAGAGGAATGTCTAACACTGAGCCTGATTTAGATACGGCTCCATAAGAACCCAGCACACGAGTTTCAAATAAAAACAAAAACATAAAATATATATCACACTATGGGGACAGAAGGGGCACACCCAGCAGTGTACATACCGCGGTCGCAGGGGTCGCAGCTGCGGGAGGAAAGAGGAAGGAGAAGGGAGTCAGAGTGGGAACTCTGACTCCCATTAGGCTGAGCCCCCACTGGACCCCAGGGAAAATCACAAAACCTTTTGTATATGTATGTGTCTGTGTGTGTGTCTGTGTCCCTGTATGTGTGTCTGTGTCTATGTATGTGTGTGTGTGAGTGTCTGTGTCTCTGTATGTGTCTCTGTATGTGTGTGTCTGTTTCTCTATATGTACGTGTGTGTGTGTCTCTGTATGTATGTGTGTCTGTGTCCCTGTATGTGTGTGTCTGTATGTGTGTGTCTCTGTATGTATGTGTGTGTGTGTGTGTGTCTGTCTCTGTATGTGTATGTCTATGTGTGTGTCTGCCTGTGTGTATGTATGTGTGTGTCTGTCTGTATGTGTCTGTCAGGGGGTGTATGTGTGTGTGTGTCTGTCTGTGTGTATGTTTGTGTGTGTCTGTATTTATGCGTTGGAGGGGATGGGGAGGCACGGATCGGGGGAGAGATGGGAGGGCAGGGGCGGGCCCACTGATCAGTTTCGCACCTGGGCCCCATGGATTGTGTGTACACCACTGGGCACACCTTCTGGAATACAACAATGTCCCCCATGGAATAAGAGATTCAATCTTCAATTTCCTACACAGAATCTCCTTCAAGCAGGAAATAACGTTGTTAAGCAAAGGATAGCTTTTGTACCCACCAGCTAGTTGGATGATTTGGAGTGGGAAATTGAATTATTTTCCTTTTGGGAGGATTATGAGATTAAATGAGTTTCAAAAACAAACCAAGTCACAATATAAATGAATACAAACTGAGAAGCACTCTTGATCTGTCACCCATCCAATCCTCTATTAAATTTATTTTTAAGGAAAGTAATAGCTGAATCGCTCCAACTGGTTAAGAATTGTAAACATAAGGTTGTCATCATTGCTTGTTCCAAACTGTTCCAAATCAAAATGCAAGCATTGCTTATCACCAGTCAGTATGGGATTTTTTACATGAATGTGTAATATTTATTTCCAATACTTTTTACCTACTTCTTCCACAGTGTAAACGTCTATATTTAGATATACATCGTTGATAATCATGGGATGATGTAGAACGTTTCCAATATAAAAGGACTAAGATACTCTCTGTAATAATAAATAGCGAGATTGGGTCAAAATAGGAAATACCCATTGGCCATAGCTTGGCTGTCATTGGTGGCCGGTGTTATTTTGTAAGCCTTATAACAGTTTAAATGGAGAAGTAGCAGAAGGAAAATTAGATTGATTCTTCACAAAGACCAGTTTATATTAAGGAGAAGAAGGGGAGCTGTTGAAAAGCGACAGTTCAAAGAGACAGCAATGAATTGCCACCGAACCATGTACAGTGTGAATTTGTACGATACAGAGAAAGCAGGAGTGCCAATGCTAATTAGGCTGCATTGACTCTAGAATTTGTAATTTAGAAATGTCACCTTATGGGATATTTAGATTTTTTTAAGTTTACTCCAGGCTCTCTTGAGCAAAGTCTGTGAATTTTAAAATGTCTATGCTTTTGAAGAATAAACACAGACTGTGCATCTCTTTTTACAGACATTGACTGATCTCATCGCCTCAAGTCACAACGAACGTGTCCTATCGGAAGTACATTGTCTGATGAACACTTGACTTTACTGTTGGTTTGTGATTTCTTATTATATTTTAATTTTTTGAATTACATGCTTGTTCTTCAGAATAAATATATATTTTTCCCCTACTTAATTCCTACTTGCCCTGTTTATTCAGAGTGTTCTATATTAATTCTAATCCTAAATTCTAAACTAACAAAAAAAGATATATTTTTAATAAATATAGTGATTGCACCTATCATTTAATAGATGATAAACATGTAGAATAAATTGGTTGGATGTGAATGTAATATACCTTATTTGTTTGCACTTCACATAGTCTGCACATTAAAGTTATGATTTACACATGAAAGCCCATTGAATGCACCTTGATAATTAAAGCTCTCCTGAAGTGCTTTTTAATCTTTTTATTAGGAACATTTGCGTATAATCTTTATGCATAGTAATATATCTATATCTTGTTGTTGTTTTACTTTGCTAAAAATAAGCAAGTAGCAAAAAAGAGAAATATATCTGTAAAGATTCCAAAATATTACAACACTCACCTGTATATAAGGAAAAAACATGTTTTGATGCCCTTAGCTACCGTGATGTTATACAGCAATTAACCATTGTAATAATTGCTTTTAGGATAACATGCTGCCTTTGACCCTCATCAGTTAATGTATCATGGACATGGCGTGCCCTCATTATCAAACAAATTTTACAACCATTATAAATAATTACAGGAAAATGTCATTGGGGCAAACAGGATTCAAATATATCAGCGAGATATTTACAAAAACTAATTAAAGGAAATCTTTTCAGTGTTGACAAAACTTTATGATTAATTGAGTGAGAATGCAAGAAAATGTATATAATAGTGAATGTAATAAGAGTATACAATTTTGGATATTTTGTGATCTATTCTAATTGGTAACTCACTCAAACTCAAGTATAGGTGCCTGTGCCAAAACAAATGAGGATTCCAGCATCATACTATTATCTGTCAATCACTGCAGGGGCAGCATTCTATAATTTTCAATTATTGCATTTGTGATCTTACTATGTATGTCCGCACATAAATAATGAATATAATTGGGGTTAAAACCCATTAGTATTTCCACATTTGGAAGTCTTAGCTGCTGGGATCTGACAATGCTCACCGATAACTGCAGTTCGCTTTTTGTCCCTTGTGTACGTTTGAGCATTATTCCACACTCGACTTTGTATTTGGTTTAAGCTGTTTTTAAGCTTTTTCGTTGCTTCATATGCATTCTTATCAACTTTGTCTACTAAAGAAGAATACAAAGTGAATTTAAGATTTAAGGCCAGAGTTGGTGAATTGGAAAAATGTAAACCTTAAATGCGTAATTCACTTTGAATTCTCACTTTAACCCTGTATGTGTAGAAACCCTTCAATAAAAATGCTCGCCCCCTACAGTTTACTTGGGGCTCTATATAACTAAGTGGGATACAGATGTTGTGGCTAGCACTGGTCTGTGAATGTGTCCTCTTCACTAGTGCTGAACTGCAAAAAGTTAAATGTGGGATTTATTTATTTTTTTATCCATGGACCTACTACTTACATTCCATCTACACAATCATCTAAAATGTAAAACGTATTATTTTATTTATTTACAGACCTGAAAGCACTTATGACAATGCTTTTCTACAGGTTTGATAGACAGGGACCAATTGAGGTTTTCCACCATTTTCCCGACTCCTTGCATTATTTTCCGATCCCATTCTTCAAAAAGCAACATTGTTTCTTGTAAATCCAGTTTGGGAATCCCAACTACAGTTTACTCACCTGTTTGGAATCACCAGACATTATCCACAACTCCTTGAAGATTGATACAATGTTTTGAAAGATTCTCGTGAGAATTTCCATACATTAGTGATATCAAATTAGTTACTTTTGATGGCATAGTGGATTTCTGTTGTACAAACTCCAGTAGACATTTTTCAGATTTAGCTACAGTCTTGTTATCAGAAGCATGGGAACCAGTTACTGAAATAAATTACACTATATAACTGTTCCACCTCTGCCCGTCAGGCTTCATCTCACACTCATACTCAGTGGCGCTCTGCATTTAACATCCTGCAACAAAGCCAACAACCCTCACCTCCTCCCGCACACCCAGGTTCCCCCTAAATATATAGCATGCTCCTCCAGCTGTTTGAGATTCTCCCTCAATTACCTATTCATTCCCTTTATATTTTACCAATAGCTGCTTCTCTCTGTTAATTCTTTTAGCTATCACCTCCAGATTTCCCCTGCTACCTCTTGTCTCAAATCCCCATTGTATCCTTTAGATTGTAAGCTCAGGTAAGCACTTTGTATAAAAGAACTCCAATGGCTAGTTATCAGCTTAAGGGCAGGGCTCTCTCGACCTCTTGTATTTGTCTGTGTATATTGTATGTTCTCTACTAATTGTACAGCGCTGCAGAATCTGTTGGTGCTTTATAAATACCAGTAATAAATAAATATATGTATGTGTGTGTGCATGAATGTGTGTATATGTGTGCGTGTATCAGAGTGCATGTATCGGTGTATATGTGTGTATGCATGTATTAAAATGTATGCGTCCAAAGAAGAAACATGGCTGCAATAAAGGTGATATAGTATGGGCAACATCACGACAATGTAACAACATATATTCTAATTATACAATATGTATATTTTGATTTACAACACCGTTTCCTTGCCTGTTCCCTCTTTATTTGGTAAATAATTTTTTTAAAGTTGCTCTGTCTAGCCAAATTTTTCATTATTGTTTCCATTTAATAATGTGGGATCTATGCATGCTGAAATGAAAAATACATTTAAACATTACTTCCCAGGACACTTAAATCACTCAGATTCTGGGGCTTCTTTCTTTGCAAACTGCTTGGTGGCAAAGGGCTAAACATGTTTCATTTTGTCATGTCAGCAGGCCAAGGACTGATTGTATAATTTGAATTCACGCTTGTGAATAACCCTGAACGTTTATATACTTTTGAAAATGAATATATATAAAGCATTGCAATACAGATAAACAAACTCTAGATGGCACCAGGTTCTTGTATAAAAATAATGCAACCTAATGTAGCACTTGAGTTCTACAAACAGATGTAAATCTTAGGTACAAATGGTAAAGTTCCTCTCAATCTAAATTCATCGTATTTCTATTTACTGTTGTGATTTTATGATCTGTACTGCAATTAAGTTTCCATGAATAATTGGACAGTTTTTTTATATTTTATTTTATTTTACCCAATTCACTGGACAGCTGGAGAATTTGTCAGGGTGACCGCAGCAGTGCACCAATGGTGGGCCGGAGTAACCCCAGGGGGGGAGTGGGGCAGAGCTCAGGAGCCGTAAGCTCCAAGTTAAGGCTGCGGATCGGCTGCCTTCCTGTCCTCGACTGTAGCAGTAGGCCACAGGAAGATCCAACATAGGCAATGTCTACCGATTACAGGCTGAAAGGTATCAATGAGTGGTAGGACGTTTTTTCCTGTAGGACTGCAAGATTTAGCCGGCAAAGTGCGCACCAAAGGTCAGTTTGAGGCTCTAAAACTCAGGGTAGAAGCTATAGAGCCATGTGGCCATCCTGGTTGTCGGTCAGGCCCCACCCCCGATGCACTAAGACTTTAAATAGACAGTCCACTGCCCAAATATAAAAATGAAAATCACAGTTTACTAAATATACCCCAAATGAAAACATGCATTTAATAATGCATTTGTTCATTTGATGTATATCTAGAAACAGCTTTCAAAACGTGCAGATCTTTTGTCTGCTGCCTTTGCAAGCCCTCCCCTCCTAACTCCACCCAGACCATCTGTGACTGTCCAGCCCCAGACATCCCAATGCAGCTCAATGAGAAGCCTTTGCGGGGCAAGTGCTCTGGGCAATTTCCTGACTCTTGAGCTTAGCTGCACTGAGCTACACAACCAGGAAGTGATAGGACCTGTTGTTTGTTTGAAAGCCAGGGGGTGCAACTATGTTAATTTTTTTAAACGTGCCAATTTCTATTGAAATCTGCACTTTTTGAAATTTGAAAAGAAAGTACACCCACTCTTCAGTTATAAGGCATTTCAGCAAGCTAAAGTGCTTTAGTGGTCTGGAATGAACCCTTAAGTCCAAAATTAATATGTTCAGCTACCCTGTAGGTTATTTTCTGCCATTGTGTATCCTTCCATAAGAACAGCAAATCCATTCTCCGTTCACTCAGATTTAGATGGAACATTAACCAGACTTTTTTATGGAACCAATAGGCTGCAACATTTGGTTAATGAAATAACTAATTATTCATTATTTATAGTATTGGAGCCTAATCCCATCTTTTTCTTCATTGTAACCTGTACGCCTTGCTGGCCTGAATTAGATGCCCATTTTTTCATTTCAACTTATCAGCAACTAATTTTCTCTGAATGACACTAAATCTATTATATCTTTTTAATGTTCTTTTACCTTTAAGTGGTTCAAGTTACATTTTAAAATGGAAAAAAATTCAACAAAAATAATCTACCAAAATATGGAACATGAGACCAAAAAAATCAGCCTTTTAGATTACCACTGTCATCTCCTTTATTACCATTAATTCTAGACTACAGCCAATATTATTTTTGCAGCTTCACTACTTTTCTAGCTTTTTACATAGTATGTTTTGTGGAATTGTACTACTGGTATTTTCACTTGACTTAATATTGTGCAAATTCCTTTAACCAGCCAGCATTATACAGTATATTTTGTTAAACTGAGAATTGCATTTGAGGACTTTAAAGTACCACAAACATGTATTCCTTACACTATATTTTTTAACTACCGATTATGGACCCCGGCCCCCCTCAGAGTGGAAATAAATCAGGTTTTAAACTTACCTTTTCTCCGTCGTACTGGTCTCGCAACGGCGGGCCCTGCCTCCATGGCAGAGATCATCAATCTTGACAATCTCAACCAAGCCAGTGAAAGCAAGAGGCGCATGCATGGCTAAACACAGCCCAGGCCAATTAGCATCTCCTCATAGAGATGCATTGAATCAATGCATCTCTATGGGGAACTTCAAGCGTCTCCCTGCAGGCATTGAGGCGCTGAACATAGGTGTTGCACACTATGCAGCACTAGACTGGGAAGCACCTGTAGTGTCTGTCTGAGTGGCGACACCTAGAGGTGTTACTCGGCAGTAATGTAAACACTGCCTTTTCTCTGATGAGGCAGCGTTTACATTGCTCAGCCTGCAAAGACATACTATACGCACCAGAACAACTACATTAAGCTGTAGTGATTCTAGCGACTAGTGTCCCTTCAAGCAAATCTCTAGACCCAATGATGATTATTGAACGAACCTGTAATAGTGAAACATTAATACAAATTTTTTTTCCAATTTGACACAATAAGATTGTTTCCAGTTTATCACTGGTCATAATTCATACTAAGAGTGTTATCTAAAATGTTTGCTGGTTAAGATGCCAGATCCTGTGTAAAACTTGGCTCGACCATGTAGGAGAGCTGGCAAGCTGTCCATGGCAACTGTATCTTGTGTTACATTTTTATCTTTATCACCTACTGGAGTTCAGCATGAAAGATTTCAGTACAAATAACAGTGCAAGCTGCTAAGGAAATTCTGGCTGTCAGTTCAGTTTCAGTATTAAGATAATCCAAATAATGTTTGGATATAAAGAAAATAGCAGGGATCTTAAGATAAATGTTTGTGAACCTACCTAATTCTGCCCATCACCCTTCTCCTAACCAGTTTGTGACATGTCTATTGATCATTGAGATGTGATTCCTAGCTTACACAAGTTTCTAAAGTCATTATATAGCCCCTTTATATAGATTCCAAGATGACGCCATATAAATAAGGATGTTCTTTCCAGGTAAAACAAATAGATACAGACAATGTACCACACTGTGCGGTATTTATTATAACCAAGTGCTAACAAAGAAATGAACTCTAACATAAAAAGCTTCCTTCATTTACAGTGGGAGATGGAGCAAAGATACGAATGTTTAGGTACGCCAACTCTAACCCTAACACTACTATACCACTAACCTAATACTAATCCTACTATACCACTAACCTAATACTAATCCTTCCCTAACACTAACCCTACTATACCACTAACCTAATACTAATCCTACACTAACACTAACCCTACTATACCACTAACCTAATACTAATCCTACCCTAACACTAACCCTAACTACCTGATTCCCTGTGATAAAATCAATACTGACATCAACAGAGAGATTTCCTATATCAATGTACAGAGTTCTTTGTACTAAGTGATTCAAACCTGGGGCTTCCTAATTTTAAGGCAGTAATATTACAACTGCTCTAGCCAGCCTTGACCTAACTTTGTAGTTTGAGGTTCAAGGACTATCAGTACCTGTGTCATCGACTCGACTGGTTTTTTTTTTGTATTCACTGTTCGATCACTTAATTTAAATTCATAAAATTTAACAGAGCTCTTTAATCCCCCTAACTAGATGAGTAGCCTAGTGCTCTGAGCACTTTATTGTCATTCGTGTACTACGGAATGGATATTGGTTATGTACAATAACACATTTTGCATTACAAAAGTGGCTAAAGTGCCTATGATCAAAAAATCAAAACCAAAGGGTAGTGCCCATAGATTCTTGTCGCCATAAGTACAATATTGAGCTGTTGTGGCTATGATGCTTAGGATGCTCCTTTAAATCTCAATAATTTGAATTGATTCAACTTCAGACATTTCACCCCTGATTATCAATTAACTCATGGATGCTATTTGTGGACATATTTGTGGTCACTCTGTGAGGATGTGATGTCCTTGGCATCTTGGGGGACGCACTTGTCATGTTTCTCCTTGGCCAACAAATCGTATAATGGCTTCTTGGGTGAGTGCGCATTTGCCCTGGTGCTCCCTCCCTGGATCTAGCCCTGGCAACAGTACTGGCTGCAGGTTCGCAAGGAGCAACAGCTAACACACCTGAACCACTCGCAAACACCTATCCAGCAGGCAACAGGGAAAAGCAAACAAGAACCTGCTTGAGCTTAGAAGATGCCAACCGTGACTCTGTGCTGAAGGCTACTCTATAGTTACGTAGATGGCAATAGGAGGTAGGAATGACTGCTCATGCTGCTAATAGTAGGACACAGAAAAGCTAGCCTGATATTAGTGATGTAAAAGTAGTAAAGCCCAATGGTGGTGGGAGTCCTGTGATACCTAATGGAAAATGACGATTTGTGATGCCTAATGGAGATGGGAGATAGCAGGGTGATGCCTAATGGAGATGAGAGGGGGAAGGGGTGATGCTTCATGATGATGTGAAACACCACCATAAGAAATCACCCCCCTCTCACTTCCAACACCATTCGACATCACCCTCTCCCATCACCTACTAGGCATCACCCCACCCTCTTCTCATTTCATCACTAGGTATCACCACCACCACCATTAGGAATCACTCCTCTCCCACCAACGTAGCGCACTTCACCTCCCTCTGTTCTTACTATTAGGAATTATATTATCCTCCTGGTTCCATCACCATTAGGTATCACAACCTTTAAAAGCGCTAGTAAACCCTTTTCAATTCCTACCTGCAGCATTCTCCCTGAACCTTTCTCTCCCTCCCCTCCACTGGCAGATGGGAGATGGAGGAAGGGGTTGCTGAACTGGGGTGAGAAAGAGAAGAAGTACTGGCTGACAAATAGTTACGCGAGAGAGGGAAGTGATGCCTAATGCATGTATATTGGTGATTGGAGAGGGAAGGAATCATGACTATTGGTGATAGGAGAGGGAGTGGGATGATACCTAATGGACGGCCCAAGCCCACCATAAATAGGTATCATCTTCTCCCTCTTGCACCACTATTAGGCTTAGCCCCTCTACCTGTCCCTTCACAATTAGACATACACCTTTTCCATATCTCTTCACCATAAAGTATCAATCCCCTTCCTCTCCCATGATTATTATGTATGACTTGGCTCCCCCATCACCATTCGACAACCCCCTTCATCTTCCACTGCCGGGATTAGGCTCTGCGTTTTCCTGAGTATTTCTCTCCCATAAATATTAGATTGGAGATAGAAGGTTGAGCCTAACGGTGTTGGGAAGGGGAAGGGTAGATGGATACCTAATGGTGGTGGGAGAGGGAGGGGGAGGAGAGGAAGGGGGGATACTTAATGATGATGTAAAAGAAATTGGGGGTGATGCATAATGGATATGGCAACTGACAATCTGTTAATTGAGCGACTGGTGGGAATATGATGTAAGGAGGGTCCTGTCAGAAGCGCCCTTGGCTAAAATAGAGGCCTTTTCTAGCAGTATCTGTCTTGTGTATCAGTGAGTTTGTGAGATTGCCTGAATTTGTGTGTGTATCTGCGAATGCCTGTATGTGTATCAGAGTGATTATCTGTGAGTCGGTGTCCGTGTATCAGTCAGGGTTTGTCTGTGAGTGTGTTTAAGAGTATGGATCGGCATGTGTATGCATGGAAGTATGGATCTGTGTGTGTGTGTCTGGGAGTATGCATCTGTTGCTTGTGCCTGGGGGTATGAATTTGTGTGTGTGTTCCTGAAAGTATGCATCTGTGAGTAGGGATTAGTGGCATCCATATTATAAGGCGTCTTTGACAGGGGCCTCTGGGTAAATTGAGTTTGACACCTCTGATTTACATAACACATTAAAACGGTATGATCAAAATGCCCCCCATTTTTAAGCATTAAAAAATAATGCAAAAATAATTAAATATGAATAAAAACAACACTTACCATGAAAGTTCCCCGTTGAAACACAGAGTAGAGCTTAGTCCCAGTTGCGTGTGGCATGGACGCCGCAGACACAAGACACAAAACTGATCTTCCTTACCAGGACGTCAGTCAGACAGCTGGGAAAAGGTGGAGCTTCAAGCTCCAAATCTCTGAAAATAACAAGATGTGAAAACTGAGAGCCAGGGACGGGCTGGGAAGGGGGGCAGGGAGGCAATTGCCCCCCAGGCTGCCAGCATCCAGCCAAAAAAAAGCAAAAATCTGAATCCCCTGCCTCTGGCTGAGGACTCAGATTTTTTAACTTACCTCACTCTCCCTGCAGCCTGCATAGGAGTCAGTGGAGTCGGACAGAATCTTCCTGATGATGTCAGGAGGAGGGAACGTGACTTCCACTGCTCTTCTCCCAGGGCCGCTGGGGGGCCTAGGAGAAGAGCAGAGGAAGTCACGCCCCCTCCTCCTGACATCATCAGGAAGATTCTGTCCGAATCCACTGACTGCTGCTGCTGGATGCTGGTTGCTGTTGCCCACCCCTCCCTGGCCTAAAGTAAGACTGAGGGAGGGGGGGAAATACACTTTATTTATTTTTTATTCCCCTCCTCAGTCCCTGTCCCCTTAGTCAGCCCCTGTCCCCCCTCCTCAGCCCCTGTCATCCCCCCACCTCAGTCCTGTCCCCTTAGTCAGCCCCTGTACACCCTCCTCAGCCCTGTCCCCTGTCGTCGTCCCTCCTCAGTCCCTGTCCCCTTGTCAGCCCCTGTCCCCTTCCTCAGCCCCTGTCCCCTTACTCAGCCCATGTCCCCCCTCCTCAGCCCTGTCCCCTTAGTCAGCCCCTGTCCCACCTCCTCAGCCCTGTCCCCTTAGTCAGCCCCCATGCCCCCTCCTCAGCCCTGTTCCCTTAGTGAGCCCCTGTCCCACCTCCTCAGCCTAGTCCCCTTGTGTATGTGTCCCCTTAGTCAGCCCCTGTCCCCTTGATCAGCCTCTGCCCCCTTGCTCATCCCCTGTCCCTTTCTTCAGCCCTTCCCCTTCCTCAGCCCCTGACCTCTTTTGCCCAGCCCCTATCCCTTTCCTCAGCCCCTATCCCCTTCCTCAGACTCTGTCCCCCCTCTCAGCCCCTGTCCCACCCTTTCCCTGCTCCTTTCCCCCCTCTCAGCTCCTGCTCCCTTCCTCAGCCCCCTACTACAGCCCCATAACATCCACACTACAGCTCCTCTCCCCCAATTGCAACCCATATCAACCACACCACAGCCCCTTTCCCAAATTATAGCCATCAACCTACTTCAGCCCCTATCCCCCCCTCTACATTTCCTAACCCCCCAATTACAGCTTATAACCTCCACTACAGCCCCTGTCCCTTTACTAAGCCCCTGTCTACTGGTTTTAAAAGTGTAAAGTTTGGGTGTTTGTGTGTGTATGAGTATGTTTGTGTGTGTTGGTTTGTCTGTGTGTGTCAGTATGTCTGTGTGTGTGTGTGCGCCGGTATGTCTGTGTGTGTGTGCCAGTATGTCTGTCTATGTGTGTGCCACTATGTCTGTCTATGTGTGTGCCACTATGTCTGTCTGTGTGTGTGTCAGTATGTCTGTCTATGTGTGTGTCAGTATGTCTGTCTGTGTGTGTGCAAGTATGTCTCTGTGTGTGTGCCATTTGGTCTGTGTGTGTCAGTATGTCTGTCTGTCTGAGTCAGTATGCCTGTAACAGTGTGTCTTTCTGTGTGCGTCTGTGTGCCTGTCAGTGAGTGTGTGCGTGTGCCTGTCAGTGAGTGTGTGTTTTTCCTAGTGTGCGCCAAATCAGCAAGTGTGTGTGTGCCTGTTATTGAGTGTCTGTTTAGGTGACTGCCCACCCCCCCTTTCAATCACATGGGAAAGGTGCTTTTACTCTCCTCTTGGTGCAATGGGCCACTTGACTGGATTTGCCCCCCAGGCCTAAGGCTGCCAGCCCTCCCCTGGTCACTGCACCAGAACTACTTCAACAAGCTAAAATAGACTTGGTGTTTAGAGTTACCCTTTTAAAGAAAAAGGAAAAAACAAAACAAAATTAATATAATTTAATTAGAAAACATCAATAAAGGGTTACTCCAAGAACCATGACCACTTACAGAGTTTAAGCCTCATGCTGCTGGGAGTATAAATCCACCTTTGTCAATGTTATTTGGGTGTCATTAGCTAGCCCAGAACTGCTAACCTAAACTCTGTGCATATTGGATACCTGACCCCCCAACCTCCCTGTCACCTATGTTCTACCCTTTCAGCAAAGGGGAGGGATGTCAGTTGAAGAAAAACAGAGTTTAATGGTTGGAGTAACTCTTTAAACGTACAGTGTACATGTTGCGACAACTTTTTCTTACATCCATACTCTGTAGTAAGTGCTTGGTCCACGTTATGCATGCAGTGTGTACATGCCACGTGCACAATTTAGACTTAGTTGACATTAAATGGCCAGAATTGAAATTTCCAACTACTGTAATTAACAGCTTATACAGACTACTTAACATATAAACTTATATCTAAACCATGCACACAACTGTACTATGCACCATCAATATTGCAATGTTGTGATGGTACTTAGACTGACCCATTAATGGTGGTGGGAGAGGGAGTGGGTGATGCCTAATAAAGATGAATGAAGGCGATGCATAATGGTGGGGGAGAGGAAGAGGGTGATGCTTATGTTGATAATATTCACCATTAGGCATCACCTCCACCCTCTCCAGTCACCATTAGCCATCATTTATTCTCTCTTCCATCAAAAATAGTTATCACACACTCTCTCTTACATCTTTATTAGATATCTCCAGGTGTGCTATCAGTGACGTATCTGTGTGTATCTATATAAGTGTGTCTGTCAATGTTTATCTGCATTGGTGTGTCTTGCAGTGTGTATCTGATCGTGTGTCTGGCAGTGTTTTTACGTGTGTGCGTTTGGAAGAGTGTATCTCTATGTGAGAGTGTGCATATGTTGCAATAATTTTGTTTGTTTTTGTATTGCAGTGTATATTTGTATTTGTCTTGCAGTATGTACCTGTATGTGTCTTACACTGTGTACCTGTATTTGTGTGTGTCTGTCAGTATACATGTAAGTGTTTGGAAGAGTGTTGTGTGGGAGCTTATGGACATATTTGGCATAGTGTTGTGTGGGATTCAAGTAATGTTTTAAATTCTGATAGCAGCCTGTTCATCCCATCCCTCTCCCACCACCATTCTGAATGCTCAGTGCAGCAATTAACAGAGGCAATGCATGTACAGACTGCAGCTCGACTCTTGATCTGTCAGAAGAAAGAGAGCTCCATCCGAGTAGTGTGTGCGAAGATCTGGAAGAAACTGATATCAGGCATCTGGAGCCTTCAATTCCAGTTGCCTCATATTAATTTTGTCTCACAGTTTTAAAGAAGAAAAACAAAAACAAATAAGGAGAGCCTGCACACAAGTAATGATGGTTAGGAGGGTGCAAGTAATGGATTTACAACACCAGCAATTAAATAAAGGAGTTACCAGCATGTGATTTCAGCAACGTTTTGACACAGAGTGTTTGCCAAGGCTGGCTTGACAGACATCTTTTCCATGCGTTGAAATGTTGCCACGTTTACATGCTGGGGTGATAAACTCCTTTATTTAATTGCTAGAGTTTTGAATCAATTTCTTGTTTCTGTTAACAGCTCTGAGGGGATGGCATATAGCTCTGTAATTTTTACAAATCGCAGCTGTTCTAAGCCACTCTTTGAGCTGAGAGTGAGTGCAGGATACTGTATGCACCATCAATATTGTAGCGATTCAAAGTAGATGGTGCTTACACTAACCCTTTAATGGTGGTGGGAGAAGGAGTGGGTTATGATTAATGATGATGTGAGAAGATGATGTCTGATGGTGGTAGGAGAGGGAGGGGATAATGATTATGTTAATAACAATCACTATTAGGCATCACCCCTTCTCTTTCACCAACTGCTATCAGATCCTCTTACATCTTCATTAGACATCTCCAGAGCTGCCATCAGGGGCGTATTTGTGTGTATCTGTATGGGTGTCTAGCAATGCAAATTAGTGTGAGTGTCAATCTGGCAGTGTGAGCTTCTTGCTAAGTCTCACACCATGTGCCCGTGGGTGGCCCCACAAGCTGTTACCAGTGGTGGAGCCAAGGGAGAGCACCAGGACAAATGTCCCCCCACCCGAGAAGCTAAGGGACAAAATAACTCTTGGACTAAGTTTGAGGTCTCAATCAGGGCCGCTATCAGGGGGTGACAACCATGACGGTTGTCACGGGCCTGACCGACCTGGGCCCCACGTGTAGCGGCGGAACAAACAGACTTAGGTCTTCTTAAAGGACATCTGATTGTTCACCTGCTGAAGTAAAAACAATACAAAATCATGCATGCTTTAATAATGTCGACACTACTTCAAGGCATAGGTAACCTTCGGCACTCCAGATGCTTTGCCAGTAACATGGGTGTAAGAGCATTATGGGGGATGTAGTCCACAACATCTGGAGTGCCAAAGGTTGCCCATCTCTGATAGACTCGTAGTATGACATTACATTTACACTATAAAACACACCAATAATATGAATATGCAGTTCTGATAAAAGCAATCATTTTGCAAAAGAAACATATACAACACCCATTATCATAAAGCAAAACATGTTTCTTTTATTTTTAAGGTCTGATTTGGATTAAACACCCAGAATATATCTCCCATTCTGGATATACTGCACATTGTCTTTTGTGTAACCAACCCCACTTCAATTAATTGATCCCATTGGCTGTGCATCATTTTTTTTTTTTTTGCAAATTAGATTTTTAATATCCTTTTTTTCCAAGCAAAATGCTATTGACTCGTCCACCATGGAGTGTAATGTCCTCCCTCCATGACTACTGGTAAAGGGAAATTAAAAACATCTTTTAACCCACAGAATGCAGCCCCTACCCTACCCCACATATTTAAACACACACACTGCATCCACTACAAAAAACACAACCTTCTCTACACATACACATAATTATTCTTGAAAATATTTTGAAAACATTTAAAAATCTGGCTGGCGTGGTGGAGTCTGACGGCCAAGCAGACCAAATGTGTGCTGATAGTGCTCCAGTGTCTGGCACCGATTATCTGGGGGTGGGGGTATTCCGAGCTCACTCGCTGATCTGAGCTCAGTCGAGTGATATTCATACAGAGGGGACTTTGGTGTCTCGGGGGATTGCCCGAAAAGAGGCTTTATAGCCTAAACGTGATAGAGATGCGGAGAGATGGCTGTTCTTTAGCTGGCTGTGTGGAATCAGTGTATTCCAAACCCCGGTGGGGGTTATCCTTGTCCCAATTGGACCAAACCATCTAATCTGCAATATAACAGAAGAACACTCCTTCACAAAATTGGGCGAACTCGAGCTACATAAGATGGCGGACACCTTAACTTCTGCAATACGAGGCCTGGTGCTGAACTCCACAGACAGGTATGGTTCCCTTGATCAAACTATGTCTAACCTGGAGAATGTACGGACGCTGCTTCAGAGAAAAGCTTGAGGAACATTGGAGGTTGGCGGCGACAGAATTTCAGCCGATTGAGGAAGCCCGACTGCACCATGGACGGGGATCGGTGGAGGCCCTCTCCTGGGCTAGTTGGCTAAGTGACGGCTGCCACCCACATCAACGGTCTACCTGGGCTGAAGGCTGCTTGGAGTTTGACCCTACAATACTATCCACATAAGGAGCACCCTAAAAAAAATTAACTTCACCCTCGAGCCATCCACATTACACCGTACAGGAAGAACTCGGACACACTACGCCTCTGAGTCTGTGATAATGAGATGATGAATTACCCCACATTGGAGCAGTGGTGAGAACGCAACGTGACTGCTTGAACAAGGCATGGGGTGACTGTCACTTATCATTCCTGAGTTGGCCTGCATTATAGGTGCAGAGCCCTTACTATCCATGTAACTGCCAGTTTACTGAGAGTGTTCCTCCTATGAGAGCATTTGGTACCAACTGTACAAAAATTACAGTTACCAGCATGATATATTAATTCAATTATTTTGCTATTTTTTTTACTTTGACTAGTTTACTGTAACAATCACGGCCAGTGCCAAGGTCATGCTTTCTTTTATTATAACGGCATTAGATATTACTTCCACACACTGTGTATTAGTCATCCTTTTCATCATCATTATAATTTTTATTATTTACCTTTAACTATACCTGCTCATTCTCAATTTGCACTTCTAATAGTCTAATATTTCTTGAATCTGAGACCGTTTGAAGGTTAATTTACTCTTAAAAAAGAGGCAATGTTTAGTGGTATACGTTAATTAGCGCTGCCTTTATTACTTACGACTTATTGTATTTAATTCTTCTTAACTTATGTATCTATATATGTCACAATAATAAAAAATAATAATTCTTGCTGGCATGTATATTTTGTTTATTTACCACTCAATAAAAGAAAGATTTACAAAAAACATTAAACACAATAAACATGTTCAGTTAATGGCAGATTTGTGTAGAAATTGTTTCTTTTTATTATTATTATTGCCATTTATATAGCGCCAACAGATTCCGTAGCGCTTTACAATATTATGAGAGGGGGATTTAACTATAAATAGGACAATTACAAAAAAACTTACAGGAACGATAGGTTGAAGAGGACCCTGCTCAAACGAGCTTACAATCTTTCTTCAAAGCTGTAACTGAATAGAATATCAGTTATCGACAGTTGGCCGGAAAGGTGACCAATAATCGGTATCAGCTTTTAAAAATTGAATCCTAATTTGTTGGTGGCTAAAGTTCTCTCCGTAATGGTATGTAAAAGGGAATATAAAACTGAATATAGTGCATAGTAGATAAGTGCTAACAAATGGATATATGTTGACTGGTCCAGAGCAAAAAATGGTTTTGCTCAATCCACAGGGCTTGGGTAGTATGTTCCGTACAAGGAAATGGTGTCCCGAAGGCAGTTAACAAAGTAGGAAGGTCCAGCGGTGGAAAAAACAATATATATTTATTAGAGTGACTAAAAACAAATAAAACAATAAAATACAACTCTGACGTTTCACCACTAGGGCTTTATCTCAATTCTCTTTTAACGTGATATTTAAAAAAAATCTAGCATCCCTGCTCTATACCAACAGGCACACTCTCCACAACTCACATGTGCAACAGAGCTACCCATGGCTTTGTTTTCTGAAAACAATGAATAAGACTTTATGAATGAATTAGAAATTGAATTGCAAATTTTATGCCCAAATATTAGAATTAAAGGACCACTATAGTCACCCAGACCACTTCAGCTCAATGAAGTGGTCTGGGTGCCAGGTCCCCCAGGTTTTAACCCTTCAGATGTAAACGGTTTACATTGCAGGGTTAATCCAGCATCCGCACTTCTGCGACGCTCAATGCGAAAATTGCATTGAGCATGCAAAACGTCCATAGTAAAGCATTGAGTAAGGTTTGAATACGCGCACGACTCTGCTCGAGAGCTGACGTTGGAGGGGGAGGAGAGGTGACCAGCACTGAGGGAGTCTGGTGCTGGATTAAGCTAAGTGGCTGAAGGGGTTTTAACCCCTTCAGGCCAGCGGGAGGGGTGCCCTGAGGGTGGGGGGTACTTTAGTGGTACTTTAAGAAACACACCTCAAAGTCAGTTATACTTTCATTTTGGCCTAAAATTTTAAATTCACTTTGCAAATCACACTTGATTGAATAACAATTTACATACAGTGTCTATATAAACCCTTCATAGTAATATATGCTACAAACATTCAACATAAAATCATGCATTTGCTACTTGCATGACAACCAGCCACAATACTTCCACACATTTCTCAAACTTAATTTGCAGCAATTTCCCAAGCTATCTCCTCACTCATTTCTCTAAAAGGGCCCTCTGGTCAACAAAAGGAAAGCTAGGCTCCCAACAATAACTGCCAATTAATCTGTGTGACAAATGATGCTGAGCCCCCTAAGCCCCGCCCCTCGCTGTCAAAGCAGCCCCAAACCACAACACTCCATGGAGTAAATACATCTGATACAACGCAGCGCTGCGGGCCTGTGATTGGTCAAAACCCAGCTAGTGCCGTTGGTCCGCGCGTGCGCAGTTCAAATTAGACGCTCTGCTGCGGTTTTGCTAAGGCAACGGGCTCTGTTTACACCGTAAAGGTCCCAGGCCAGCTGTTACCCACATGAACCATCCAAGGCACCACTGAGGCAGGAGAGGGAGAGCTGTCAGCATGCCGGTCCGCTTCAAGGTGAGACTGATCCATAATGCATAATATGGCTGTACATGGTAACTGCCCCTGGGATGCTTTATTTATAAATGTATCGATTTATCAAGCTGCGCTGTGTTGGAGTGATGGGAGTGGGGGATCTGAGAGGATCTGGGTGCCTGGAGTATGTGTCCAGGTAATCACAAGGCAATGTTCCAAAGCAGCCACCTGGGAATCCCATGGAATGTTCCAGCTGTTCTACTTTTAGAACGTTGCCCTGGAATCCCACCTTGATACATTATTTCCAGGTATTTTATATTTCTCTAATAGCAAAGACACTGGTAGGAAAAGGAAGGGTCTGCCCACCTCTAGAACTCCGCGTTGGGAAGAGGGTTGCATCCTCAGATTTGTGGATTACTGTGGATTATATGTTACATTTGTGGATTAGGTTTTTTTTTTTTCTGGTTGTAAATGGAAAGAGCTTATATTATTTGCAGGACTGTGTGATAAATGTGGGTCACAGTGTTTATATTAACAGTGAATGGAAATAAAACAATAAGGACACTGCATAAGAGAACATTACTGAGAAAACGTCAATTGCATTGCATTTAAAGTATGATCTGTAGGTTTTTTGTTAACTGAGTTGCAAGTATTCTTTCAATGCAGGGTTTATCAGAATATGACAGAAATTTCAACTGGAAGGGGCCAGATGGTCAGGAAGATCCAGTACATGCATCGAGATGGGCTGGACTTAGATCGGATGAGCTCGGTGAGAATTACATTTTAAACACAATTACCTGCTGCAAACTACAACAACAACAACAAAAATATATGCCCGACGTGGGATGAAACTTTCATTTTCACTTTTGCTTGTTCAGTAGAAACAGAGTTAAAACATTGTTTTTGCATGATCAATGTAGAATGGCCACATTTCATTGCAGATACATGCCATTTTACACTGAAAAAGTGAGTAGCTCTCAGTGACTTGGGCAGCCTGCTTACTTCCTAGTGAAGTTTGGAGACCCCAATGTAGGTAAAAAAAAATGCGTTACCTTTATTCAATTTTATCACCATACTAAAGGCATACCTTTTCTAAACCTTTGCTTATAAAGGTTCTTAAATAATAAGGCTTAAGAAAACATTTGTGGGCCTTAAATATGCTGTTACATTGACGTATCATGTAAAGTAATAACGATATTCATCTACATAGCAGTTAAAATAATATTTTGTGCCCAAACAATGACCAAACATAATTTTTTTAAATGAACACTCCAAGCACCATAACCACTACATAACAGTGTATTAGTTTTGTGCCAAGAGTTCCTTAGTTTAGTACTCCCCATTGTAACTAGTCAAACCATTTTAAAATGGGTTGACTTCTTAACTGGGAAATGCCACTCCCTGCCTCCACTACTGCATTCAGAGAGCGTCAGCTAATTGCTCTTAGCCAGCAATTGGAGCTATTCCTGTATTGCAGGGCTTAGTTGAGTTAGAGAGCTTCCATCTCTCTGTCGGAAGTAGTGAGAGCAGGGAGCGGCGCCCGGAGGACCTCAGTTTGAATGCCAAACTGTTCTAAAACATACATTGGGGGGACCAGGTCACTTCTGGCATCATAACCACTCCAACACACTATAGTGATTATGGTATTTGAGTGTTCCTTTAATTAAATCACATTTTGGCTCCTTCAATATTACTGTGTGCCCTGTTTTCATGTGAAACATGGAGAGATTTCCCATCATTTGAAGCAGCAGACATGCTCCTTAAATATGTTGCTTCATCTTTTTGAGGAGAAAATCATGTGTTAGAGACACTTAAAGCGGCACTGTTTGGGGACTTTGCCAAATTTGCTAAGTACCTAGACTGGGACATTACCAGTGGCTGAAGGGGCATGTAAATGTGAGTTTGCTTACCCAAACTTGTCCCACGCGGGCGTAGCATTCTTGATCCTGCGGGTTCCTCTTCAGCGCCGATGTCACTGCTCTACTCCTGCGCCTGTGTCTCCATAGACACAGCCAGTTCTCTGCAGCCGCCACAGATGATGGCTACAGGGATTGACTCTCTAGCTCTGTGTCAAAGAAAGTCAGGCTTGGGAGAAATACAGAGACAAAGTAGAGACTACTTTGTCTCTGTATTTCTCTTGACTGGGTTTGAATTTCAGTGAAATTCCAACATAATCATAATGAGTATTTTATAAAGGGTCTATCGCTATGAAATACTCATTTTTAATATGGGGTGACAGTGCTGCTTTAATTTTTTTTAACATAACTTGTTAGAGCATGCAGCTAAAGAAGCACCCCAAACAGCTTAAAGGGACACTATAGTCACCAGAACAACTACAGCTTATTGAATTTGTTCTGGTGAGTAGAATCATTACCTTCAGACCTTTTGCTGCAAACACTGTCTTTTCAGAGAAAATGCAGTGTTTACATTACAACCTAGTGATAACTTCACTGGTCACTCCTCAGAGATCCTTCATGGGCCATGGCTGCCTAAAATGCATCCAAACATTCAGTATCTCCTCCCTCTGCATGCAGATACTGAACTTTCCTCATTGGTTTCCTTCATTCCTTTCCTTAATTGATTCAATTTATCTCTATGAGGAGATGCTGATTGGCCAGGGCTGTGTTTGAATCATGCTGGCCCTGCCCCTGATCTACCCCTTTGTCAGTCTCAACCAATCCTATGGGGAAGCATTGTGATTGGATCAGGCCACCACTTCTGATGCTGTCAGCAGACTGCTTGTTTTCCTGAGGCAACCAGCATGCAGAGTTACAGCTTCTGGCTTAAAAATACAGTAAGATTCTGCTATATTTATGGAGCCATGAGGGAGGTAGATGGTGGTTTTAACACTATAGGGTCAGGAATACATGTTTGTGTTCCTGACCCTATCGTGATCCTTTAACCACCAACCCTTTACATAGATTATGATGTGTTGAGTTTAGCTACAGTGAAAATCAATGGAATTATAAGTCCCCCTTCCATACATCAATGATGTTACAAATGCTCATGAAGTGTGAGCATGCTTTGCACTCCCCACTACTTATCGTTTTATGAAAGAACTTGAGTAGTGAGCACTTACAGCTAGCATCATTCATGAAAAAATACATGCATAAAGTTAATAGACATGACAATGTAATGTAACACTCTGGACATCATAACCACTACAGCTTTCTGTAGTGGTTATAGTGCCAAGAATGCCCTTGTACCACCCCATTGTAAGGAGTAAAATTGTTTTAGAATGGTTTGACCTTTTACCTTAAAGGGACTCTCCAGTGCCAGGAAAACAATCTGTAAAAACGCCTTCAGTGACTTACCAGAGGCAGCGACATGTCCCACGTCGCTGCTTCTTCCTCCGCCGCCGCTCCTCCTCTTCATTACATCGGCCGGTGGGTTAGCAAAATTAGACCTAATGCGCATACGCGCCAATGCCGCGCATGCGCATTAGAGCTCTCCATAGGAAAGCATTGAAATGCTTTTCATTGCTTTCCTGTGGGGAATTGAGCGACGCTGGAGGTCCTCACACAGTGTGAGGACGTCCAGCGACGCTCTAGCACAGGTTTTCTGTGCTATAATCCAGGAAGTGCCCTCTAGTGGCTGTCTAGTAGACAGCCACCAGAGGTGGAGTTAACCCTGCAAGGTAATTATTGCAGTTTATAAAAAAACTGCAGTAATTACACTTGCAGGGTTAAGGGTAGTGGGAGTTGGCACCCAGACCACTCCAATGGGCAGAAGTGGTCTGGGTGCCTGTAGTGTCCCTTTAAAGAGCCAGTCCAGACCCCTAAGCAACTTTAAGCTTGCTGAAAAGCTTTATTTGCGAAGATTGTGTCCTCTTTTTTTCATTTTGCTTAAAGTGCAGATTTCCATAAATTAATCTGGTTACACCCCCTTGGCTTTCAAGCAGACAAGCTCTGCTACTTCCTGGTTCCGCTAGCTTAATGCAGCTGACCTCAAGAGGCAGCAATTGCCCATAGCATCTGACTTACAAAAACTTCTCATTGAGCTACATTAGAAAGTCTGTGATTGGACAGCCACAGAAAGTCTGGGCGGGGTTAGAAGGGGAGGGCCTGCAAAAGCAGCAGACAAGAGAACTGCACGTTTTGCAAGCTGATTTTAGATATATCCCCAATGAAAAAATATACACAATTAAATGAATGCAAGTTTTTATTTGGGATAGATCAACCATTTTCATTTATTTTATTATTTGGCAAGTGGAGTGTCCCTTTAAGTTCACTGGGTGCCACTCCTTGCCTCCACTAGTACGGCTGGGGAAATTACAGTTCTAGCATTAGGTCTCCCATTAGAGAAATGGAACTAGCATTAGGTCTCCTGAGCTAAGCCATGCACTGCAGGACTTGGCTCATTGGCTGAGAGTGATTGGCTGAGTGTTCCTTTAATTTATAAAAGGGCCAGTTCCTATTGAAGTCTGCAGTTTTTGTAAAATGATAAAAGTGGACACACTCTTCACACATAAAGCACTTCAGCCAGCTAAAGTGATTTAGGTACCTTAGTGTTGGGGGGAGGGAGTTGGTTGGAGTAAAACAACTTAAGCTTCACTATAAAATCATAGTAGATTGCACAGATGTTTCTTTCATATCTTCTCATGAATGACTCTAATGCAGAGTGCCGAATATTTTGTCATTCTGCTCCTCCAATAAAAAGAAAACAAACTGCTTTGCCACTTCCTGGGGAAGCTGCAGTAAACACAGAGGAGTTCAAAGTTGAGTGTTTTTACAGCATTTTCTCCATAATACAATTACGTCAGCTCTTGCCTGCAGTGCCCTTTTAATGTAGGATGTAGGCTAATGGGATTTTATTATAATATGAACAGTTGTATTATACTTATAAGGTTCTCAGCAGAATTCTAAAGACCAATTAATGTCAACAAAAAGAAAACATTCTTCATTCCTTTCATAGCTGTGAAGAAAATGTAATTTTTTAATACAACTTAACTGCAGAAGAACACTTGTGCGTTTTAGTAAGTATTTCATACCTACACAAACACTCAGCACGTTATTGATAAACATCATAAAATTGATAAAAGTGCGCAGAAGGTAAAAAAAAAAAAGAAGCAATTTATTTTTCAAAAGTTGACAAGTCTTGTATAAATAAAAACATGAGGGAGGCCTTATTAGATTTAAATGGACACTCTAAGGACCATAAACACTACATCACACTATACGGTTATGGTATCATTAGTACACTGGCACGCTGAAGTGGTTAAGGTTCCAGTAGAACCCTAGTACACTTTAGTGATTATGGTACCTGGCGCCACGTTAAACAGTATAGGAAGGTTTAACAATTACCTGTTCGATGCCTGCATTTACTTATCATTTAGTAGAGTGTGCGTGTGTGGCTCCACACAATATTTGGGGGCACAACGAAAACATGCATTATTTAGTTATGGTCCTGCTAGAGTCTAAAATGTCCACAGATTGTACATAATACAGCAACGTGGCCCTGGGCATGCACACAAACAACATCTTAAGGCTATTTTGCGAACACCTATCTTTTATTCAAAATCTGGGGTTTTGGTAGCATCATATGGCCATATTGCGTTTAAGCCCACCGCTTTTTACAAAGTACCCTAATATTATAATATATTGTGTAATTGCACAGAGCCGTATAGTTATATTATATAACAGGGTGACCAGTGACTGGCGGAGAGCCTCAGCTAAGCACTTTCAGACAATCACTGCCCCTATTCCTGCTATAAATCTGTATGGCGTAAAGCTATACAAGACTAAACGAGCATAGTTCCATCATTGGAGGCCGGGCTTCAGGTTGTCAGGGACCAAGAATTTCTCCTAAACTCTGGAATAATGCTTTAGTAATGATGACCTTGTACCTGTGGACAGCAGGTGGTTAAAGTTGTTATGGTGCCTCCAGTGTTTCTCTAACAAACTTTGAAATAGAGATTTATGTTTATTTAACAACCACTCATATGGCAGCTGAATGTTAGTGCAAATATGGCTGAAAACAAAATTAGCCTTTCGAACTTCTGGTTAAAACGGACACATTTAGAAACAGTAAAATATTTTTTGCCACCTTTTGGCATTTAATGAATAGACCTCTAGATGTCGTAGTTAATTCTTTTGTGTCTACTCAGATATTCGTGAGTATCTCTACTCATAATGGCCTGGCTGTTTGTTTGTTTTTATTATAATGGATTGTACAAATCAAACCGCAGCTTTACTATGCAGATCTATTTTGATATTCTGTTATGTGACTAGTTAACCACTGATATGTTGCTTGTTTAGCATGTCATGCGTTACTTTCTGTAATTGAAAGTTGTTGTTTTTTCCATTTAAAAGGTATTACTAAAGAGCCAGGTTTTACTTCAAAACGGAGGGTCCCGTATTACAACCCACAAATATCAAAATCATTTCAATGGGAGGAAGATGCGGACATGCCAAAACATGAAAAAGTTAAAGCAGTTGAACCTGTGAAAATACAACCAGTTGTTGAAAAGGACCGACAGGTTGAGGAGGAAATACGCACACCAGATGCACCACGGATACAGAAAGCACCCACCTCGTTATCTGCTCCACTCAGACAAGAATCTACTCATGCCTCATCCCAGGTTAAAAAAGTGCCAGTCACTAAGCAAGGACAGAAAAAAGAAGTATTAACTGTTGCTACAGGAAACCCCCCAAAAGATCACCATGGGGTAAGTGTAACCAGTATTAACCATTAAGGACCAAGGCTCTTTGGGGATGTAACACATTTGTGACCAAGGCCTTTTTTGGCACTTTTGCTATGCATTCATTTTAACATTTTATTTGTTTAAGTGCACCCTTACATATAATATATATAATTTTTTAGAGGAGAAGTAGGGCTTTCATTTGTTTCCCTACATGTATGCATAACATAATATTGTTTTTTTTTTTTTTTTCTGTTGTGAATTTAAGCATTTCTACACAACAAGTGCAACTAAAGAAAACTAACCCAATATGTTTAGGATTTAATCTAGTTTTTAGAAATTATAAAACAAATACCGCAAGGAGAAAATGATTGTTTTAAAGCTAAAATCTGGCATGCTGAGATTACAAATTTTATATTAGTCACAGAATCCAAAATCGCTCCACAAAAGTACATCCTCCAGGCTATTTAACTAAGAGCATTTTGACACTTTTCATTTAACCATTTTATTATGAACCTTGGTCAATATATACGCTGAACAAAATTATAAACGCAACACTCTTGTTTTTGCCCCCATTTTTCATGATCTGAACTCAAAGATCTAAGACTTTTTCTATGTACACGAAAGGCCTATTTCTCTCAAATATTGTTCACAAATCTGTATAAATCTGTGTTAGTGAGCACTTCTCCATTGCCAAGATAATCCATCCACCAAATAGATTTTTTGGACCTCCAGTGTTGCTAAAATCTTCATAGGGAAGCATTGAAAGCATTTTTCAATGCTTTCCTATGGGGAGGTCTAATGCGCGTGCGTCGCACTGCCGCGTATGTGCATTAGGTCTCACCCCACCGGCGTCCGCGCATGCGCAATTGGCTCCCCCACCGACGTCATCCGGAGTGTGGGCGGACCCTGGACCAGCGCCGAGGGACATCGGCGCTGGAGTCTGGTAAGTCACTGAAGGGGTTTAAACCCTTTCAGCAACCTGGGATGGGGGGTGGGAGGTAGAGGGGACCTGCAGTGCCAGGAAAAGGGTTTGTTTTCCTGGCACTGGAGTGTCCCTGTAATGTGTTTTTTTTATTATAAATTTTATTTATTTTTTATTTTAAAGAAATGAAAAACAAAGCCAGTTTATTTAAAAATATTTTATTTAAAAGTTCCACAGGGTTCTGGCGAAAAAAGCTGGTATGGACTTGGCTCCTTCACAACATCCTCTCAAGGTGTCTGAGTACAGGAGGCAGTTCGAAAGGAAAAGTCCTGTAGAAAGTGCTCCACTAATTGCTGCAGAGCAGGTATTATATGAATGTAAATTTGATTTATTATTATTATTTTTTTTTAAATATTTTTTTTATATATTTTGGATAGAAATGGGGTTGTTGTTCTTATCAAGGATTGTATCTAATCATTCCCAAAGCAGTGAAAAAAAACAAAAAAACAACACTTTGTTACTGGTACTACTCATTTCACCTGCCACTGAATATACAATGTTTTCCTCTGGGGCACTTGTGTTATAAATATATATCTATATAGATATAATATCTATATACCGTATATAGATATAATAAATGTATATATAGTAAATTATGGTTCTGTTTAGTTACCTAAAATAATTAAGAACATTTAAAGATGCTATAGGCAAAATAATATTTTTTATAGAATAAGTAAGTTCTTTTTCCACAATATTTATCCTTCTTGTTTTTACTGCAATGACCCAGGTAAATGTGTTATCACCTTGCAAGCTCAGAATGTTCCAAAATTATGTTGTTTTTATACTTATTTAGTTCAATGATATATTCTGCTTTCCTTTCCATTTCATAATATCCAAATCTCCCTCCTAAATGTATAATTCAATCCATACCTTTTTCCACCTCTCTTTTTTCACTTTGTGCACCAAAACTTGTTTTTTATATGGTCTTTTTTCCTCTGTATACATAAAATATAATGTTGTCTGTAACAAATGTGTATTACTATATATGTAATGTTAATGTATTATACCCATTGATGGCTATATGTCCAATTTCTATTTTTTTTTGCAGGTGGTTTATAACAAAAATCAGGCAGTTCCTCCATTTAAAGTTCAGCCAGTCACTACACAGACAGAGTACAATAGTCAATTTAAGGGATCACCGCCTGCCAAAGGGCCGAAGCTAAGAAAAGCTTGGGAAGAAAAATATATCCGTGAATATGAGCCAGAAAACCACATTCGTAGGAGAAAGGTGCGCAGTTACTTACAAAAACAATGAAAGCTGTCCTTTACTGTCTGTCATCTGATAGATTGCCAGTCACCACGTTTTCTTGGACACACATCACATGATGTTATATGTTATAGGAAAAGTGCAGCCCTGTTCATGTATACTTCACATGAAGTAAGAGAGAAATAAATCAAGGAGGAATCCTGAAATAACTGATTGACTGACTGATTTCCTCCTACAGCATAGAATTCTTCAGACTTCCAGACAGCACTTTTCATGTGCTTCCCATCAGCATGAAAAATGTTCCATTCGAGACTATTGTTATAAGAATAATCTGCTCACTGCATAACCCTGATCTTTATTCTGTCATCTGCATTGTTATTTTCTCATTGTTATTTTCTTCACTCTTAACGGTTATTGTCTTCTCGTTATTGTCCGTATTGTCACACATTCACTGTACTTAAACATTATTGTTGACATTTACTTTAGGATAAAAAGAAAAGGACCAATATTGTACGTACTCCAAATAAGGGCGAACAAACTACAATTGAACAGAATGAAACTGGTGAAAGAAAAATACTCAGAGAAAGACTCGTTCAACAACTTAGCATTCCTTCTAAAGGGTACAGGTAGGTAACACATTGCTTTAAAATTAGATCTGAACTAGTTCTGCAGAGCTTTCACTTCTCTGCAAGGGATACTTCCTTGTTCCCTCAACCCAGTAAATGGGGTGAGAGGTGCAACAGAGGTATATAAAAATACGCACTAATCTTTGCAGCACATTGTTGTTCGGGGCAGTTTAATAGCCCGAGCTGGTCTGAACATGCATGTGCTCTCTAACAATGCCTGAACATATCTTCAATAGTTGTCTGGAGGGGCACTCAAAGGAATTGAAATATTGAACCCAAGTTAGGCCTTGTTCACCTCCAAATAGACAATCCAAAGTAGAACAGACACAGGTTCAATCATGTATGCCCATTAGGTTCATGCAGGTTTCCATCCTGTGGAACCTGTGGATTTCTTCTTTGGATTGGCAAAACACTGAATTCAAAATAAAATTCCGGGGGTGGGACCGGACCGCCGAGCTGGACGGCCGCAAGTCAGAGCGGCTCCAGTAAAACGCTACTGAAAACCTGACAAAAAAAAGCATTTCAACCAAAATCGGACCGACCGCACAGATGCCCAGAGCCAGGGGACTGCTGGACCCGGGGAGAGGCTGGCTCATTGATCTTCAGTCCCCTGGGGGAGAAAATCTCGTTGCCCAAACCTGGGCCTTCTCTGGCGGTGAGCGGGGCAGACGGCCGCTGCCTCACTATCCTGCACCACAGATCCTGGCTGCGTTCTCCCTGTCGCCGGGGGCGTGATCCCTGTCCTCACCCTGCAGACATGACCGCGACTATGCTAACAAGGCCGGGGAGCCTAACCACTGCCGGACGGCACGGAGAATACCTCCCTCCTAGTGTCTATTAATAGCAAGACAGCTCCTGATGTCCAATCCCGCCACATGGGGAAGCGGCAAAACCCGTGGCAATCCTCACAACCACTCAAGCCACCATCACGGAACACAGGCGGCTCGAAGAGGCGAGAGACAGCAGCGGCACCGATAGGACAGAACGTCAAACAGCGACTATTCCCACCCGGGGTGACCGCACCTTCTACCCAGCGAGACACCTTCATTAGCGGACCGACCCAGTGCTCACCTACCATACAGCCTGCAACAGAACAGCCCGGAAAACGGCAGATCCCTGCAAATAACACCCAGACATTACAACATGGCGAACACCAACCAGCGGATGACCGTAAGCGGCAAGCCCACCACAGCAAGGCTGCTACTCAGAGGAACAAACGGACACAACATGCTCTGAAGGACCCTTACTCCCAACTACACAGACAACAGAGCAGGTATCAGACAAAAACGAGACTGTCCCTAAGTGAGGCGCCTTCGGCCCACCAGGATGCCGACCCCATCCCACGGAGGCGACTCTGGTAATCCCTAACCACCAGGGTGAATGCTTGACTCATTCTCTTTTTCTTTTTACCTTACATATAGACGGCAAATCAGCTCATAATTAACATATACTAGCTTACCTGCAATAGCATAACTTAACTGTATACCACACTTAACTCAACTATTATGGCACTGCATAACATGCTTTAACATTATGGCTCCATTAGCACAGCTACCTTAACATAGTTAACCTAACCCTGATGTAAACGCTGATTTAGCTAGGCTTGAAACACAAAGAAAAAGGAGTGAATACAATAGTCTGTTCTAGAAATAACATGAATAATATATCCCTGCGCCATAAGCATACTATAATAACAATTTATTTTTCTATGTAATGTTAAGCTTGACTGAATATATTCCATATATGCACCCTATAGACTCATAACGTTGAACCTTGTTATACCTGTTAAAAATGTGCAAGGAAATTATGCCACTACCTAATCTGTATATTCATGCATATATGTACGCTGTTGTGGCATCCTGACAAAGATATTGTACTCACCTGCACAAAAAAATTAAGAATAAAAAAAAAAAAAAATCCAAAACCAACTTTAAAAAAAAATGTTTGCTAGATGTAACTGCTTTGCTTACAGCCTGTTGTAGTGCTTATGGTACCAGGAGCACCCTGGCACACGTCTGCTGTTAGGAGTCAAACCTTTTTAAGAATGGTTCGACAACTTACCTGGGATTTCTGGGCACCTGCAAGTAGTTTCCACTAGGTTCACTGAGCAAAACCCTGCTGTGCAGGGCCAGCTCATTGGATGACAGAGGAGCAGGAGCTTCCAAGTCAGAGGAGGAAGCAGCAACTGATAGGTGGACCCCAGGTAAGTTGTCAAACCATTTTTATACTAATTTAACTATTTTCACTACAGCCAGCTGGCTGTTTTTAGTGATTATGGTGCTTGGTGTGTTCCTTTTCCCCATAGGAAAGCATTGAATCAATGCTGATGCTGGATGTCTTCATGCAGAGGGTGAGGACGGCCAGCGTCAGTCACTGGACCAAAAGTCTGTGACGTCTAGGAAGCGCCTGTGGTGCTAGACAGCCAATGGAGCCAGACTTAGTGCTGCAGTGTAAACATTGCAGTGTCTCTAAAACTACATTGTTTTACATTGCAGCACTATGTGCAATAGGGACACTGTATCCAGACCACTTCAATGATCTGGGTGCCTATAGTGTCCCTTTAAACCCAGCTTTTAGGGAATCATATTTAGTGCTCGTCTTTATGTGGACTGCAGATAATACACAATATAACAATTTCTTGCCCTGCTATTATGTTGTATACCTCATTCCATGTAGTGATCTATTATATTAGCTAAAGCCTATTATCTTAACATTTATGTATTTATTTCTTCATTTTACTTTAGAAAAGTGAAAACCGAATATTCAGCTAACTTTCTCTCACCTTCTGAATATAAATACAAGGATGGAGCTTGGGTGAGGACAAAGAAAGAAATGCCTGAGCAAGTATGTACTCTTCCCCAAACCTTTTTTTAGCAGATAATATTCATAAAACACATTTGTTTATCAATGTATATGTACTAACCTTGTTCTAGATTCATATGATGACTTTTCTTTAATCCTGACCGTGTTTTTAAAGTGTATGTTTATGTGTGTATCCGTTTGTTTGTTCTTTTCTTTACTTAATACACTAGGTGGCAGTATCTGTAAAACTAAAATCTGTATATTTCACATCTTAAACTGTGCATTGTTTCAGCTATCACATTACATCGTTATTAAGTCATTAAATGCTTAGTGTGCTTTCATAATTTACATTAAACTGTTGACATGAAAAAAGTGACATCAGTGGGCCCTATACCTGCTAGAATGATTATCCACTGATACCTACTAATATTTTGTCTGTCAGTAGTAAAATAGTAATTTAAAGGGACACTATAGTCACACAGACCACTTCAGCTCATTAAAGTAGTCTGGGTGCAGTGTCCCAGTCCCACTTAGTCCTGGAATGTAAATGATTGCAGTTTTTGAGAAACTGCATTGATTACATTGCAGGACAAAGACTGCTTCTAGTGGCTGTCAATCAGTCAATCAACCACTAGAGGCAGATGCATGAGGACACCCAGCATCAGTGAAATCCCCACAGGAAAGTATTGTAGCAATACTTTCCTATGGAGAGGGCCTAATCCCCTTGTGGCGCCACTTGGTATAGGCATATTTTCAAAGACCACTTGGTTTTTTAGTATTGTTCTACTTTGCTTTACTCTAAATTGGCCAAACAGTATAATTGTGACAACTCATTCTCAGAGGTGCTTTTAAGTTGTTAAGTAGGAGAAACATATTCTTATGAACTTTGGATTCATATAAAATCGTCACATACCTGCTTATTTTATACTTTAAAGGAACCCTTGAAATATAGTGCCAGGGCTTCCTCACTATGAGAGAGTGGTCCCTATACAACTTTATCACAATATGAAGCACAGTGACCCTTTACTCAGGGCCGGCCCGTCCATTGACTGCTGTAGAGCCACTGCTCCAGGCGGCACTCTGACTGTGTATTTACATCTGTATGCATGCCAATATCTGCATGTGTGTCAGTGTACCCAGGACGTACTTGAAAACGAGAGAAATCTCAATGTATCTTTCCTGGTAAAATATTTTATAAATAAATAAATAATACTGACACACATGCAGATGCACAGACACATACACAGTTGTATAGACACACTAATACACATGCAGAAATACAGTTGCACATGCAGATATACAGACACACAGATACAAACACTGCCACACATGAAGATACATAGACCAACAGATACAATCAATGACACATATACAGATACAGGCACACAGATACAAACACACATGCATATACACAGACACAGTGCATTGGTAAGTGTATTGACTGCAGTGCACACACAGACACACGCTACATCCAGTGGCATACACACAATCCATGGGGCCCCGGTTCGAAACTGACCCGTGGGCCCCCCATCTTCCCCTGACAGACACACACACCTACATACAGACACACATGTATACATAGAGACACACACACACAAACAGACAGGCACATACAAATACACATACATACATACAAACAGACAGGCACACATACACACAGATAGACACACACACACATACAAAAACACATACATACAAACAGACAGGCACACATACATACAGTCAGGCACAGACACACACACATACATAGAAACAGAAACAGACAGGCACACATACATACAGACCCACACATACATACAAAGACACATACATACATACAGACACACACACACAATATTTAAGTCACCCTCCTGTTTCCTACCTTTTAGGTGCAGGAGGGTGACTTTCCCTGGGGTCCAGTGGTGGCTCAGGCTGGTGGGAGTCCCGTGCGGTCTGTGTGTGTTAGCTGGGAGGAGTGACGTGTGGTCACTTCCTCCCAGCATTGATGTCATCACAGGTGGCCCGGTCGCGCTATTAAAGCACCCAGCACTGACCGGGCCCCCTGGTAATCCATCTCCATCAGGTGGCCCTAACAGCATGGGCCACCCGATGGACCCCTTGGACGGCGGCCTCGGTGGTTTGCCGCGTGGGCCGGGGCCGCAAAACATGGCGGCAGGTATCCGGTCGCAGGGGTCCAAAGGGCGACCGGGCCCCCAGGAGTGACAGGCCCGGTCGCAGCTGCAACCCCTGCGACCGTGGTATGTATGCCATTGGCATACATCCCCAGCACACACACAGACACACGTTACATCCCCAGCACACACATAGACGCACACAACTTCCCCAGCACACACAGACGTATACTACATCCTCAGCACACACACAGACACATACTACATCCCCAGTACACACACAGACAAAAACTTAATCTACAGCAAACACACAGACACATATCATCCCCAGCACATAGTTAGACACACACTTTATCCCCAGTACACACACAGACACATGTTTTATCCCCAGCACATACACATAGAGACACTACCATTGCAGAAACATATATTGTTTGGGGGGGTTGTAGCATTTTTTTTCATTCTTGGACCCAGGCAGCACAATGTCTTGGGCCGGCCCTTCCTTTACTCATAGAAACTATCTCTCCTGCCTGATTCAGATGGCATGAATGTTGCAGCATTAAATTATACTTCTGCCCTGCAGAACAGTATGGGAAAGATACTTTGTTGCTGTCATTGATCCTTTGTATTTAGAGATAACGTGTGTTTTCTTACATCATATTTTGAACCATGTTAAAAATGGAAAAAAGTACATATAGTCACAAGTAACTGCCATAATAATGCCAGAAGGTTAAGGGAAAAAAACTTGATCAACAGATGCTGATCCCTAACATGTAGAATTGGACTAAAGCAGTTAGAGATATCATATGAGAATACATAATAATTGTTTTAAGGTTCAGAGTTAGCCTAGTGCTCACAGAGATGCCTTGCACCATAACCACTTGTAGTGGTCATAGTGTCACATTAATTAAATTATTGTTGAGCCTTAGGCCTGCTCATAAATATAAAATATCAAAGGTAATAGGGTACAATAAACACAAAAAAGGCAATATAATAGGTCCTTCTAAACAGGCAATATAATATGTACTTGTAAATAGGCAAGATAATATGGAAAAAAAAAAATATAAACCATCTCTCACTGCAGTATTGGTGTAACGACTATGGTCTCCATAGGGCTGCTTGGCTATTTTATCTGATTTGATCTGCGGTTTATGCTTCTTTCAGCCATTATGGATTCTGTTTCATGATGTGACTATGATGGACCAATTAAGTCTATTCACTTAGAACAACACTCTATAAGCATACATATATTAATTTATAACAATAAAGTGTTCCTTTCAAAATTGAGTTCTCATCCGTTTTTGTGAATAGGAACTCTGCAATCACCATAACCACTGTAGCAGAGTATAGTAGTTATGGTGCCATGGGTGCTCTGGTGCCCCGCTTCCAATATAAGTAGTACAAACTCCTGTCCCCAACCTCTGTGCAGCCTAAAGTGAGATACGGAAGATCCTGCTAGAATCTTCTGTGGACTCTCTCAAGCTAAGCCCTGCATTACAGATACAGCGAATTGGCGTCAGCTGATTGCTCTTAGACAATGGGTTAAGCCCTGTGCTGTTGGAATTAGCTCAGAGCTTCTGGCTGCTGGGAGAGGCAAGGAATAGTGCCCAGCAAATCCTAGGTTAGAAGACATACTGTTACTAAATGGTTTGACTACTTATATTGGGGTGGCGCCAGTGCAGTCCTGGCTGGCACCATAAAGCATGCTGTAGTGGTGATGGTGCTTGATGTGTTTTTGTTATGCTTAGTCTAAACACATTAGCACTTAGTATCACTGCTGAAAGTGGGCAATAACAGCTGGAATTTGTAAAAATTACTGCTGCCATACCACAGCTCACCAGTGCTGTCAATCTGGCTGCCAAGAGTTCTTGACTCCAGGTTGCCTGTCTTTATTTTGTCTCTTATTGTGTGGGCAGCGTGTGTAGGCCAGGCCTACATTAGTAAAGACTCTCTCCTCGCTGGATAGAAACGATCCATGGACGGCGCATGTCTGCGACTTTTCCGATGCTAACACTGCCGTGCGGTGTTTAAACGGTTAGCGGCTGCAGTACGACTGCTGTCAGTTTAGTCAGCAGTTCCATTTATCCGTATGTGATGATTACAACTGCAGTTTGGGATAAACTACTTATCCCATAATCCTCTTGCTGGGTCTCCAAACACTTAGAATGACACTCTCCTGGTTGGAGTATCTCATTCTGCTGTGAAGGGGCCTGGCAGCAGCCGCTAAGCAGCACACTAAAGGATAATTAAAATGGTATGTCTCTTATTTTTTAAATTTATTTTATTTTGTATCCAGTTTCTTTTTTTATTAATACAATTAGTTTGTAGAACTTCCATAATTCATTAAAGTATTATATAATATTTACACACTCTAATTCCTGTACACTATTTTGTTGCTGTAATTGTTTGTGTCGTAGTTTTAAAGTTCTATTCTTGGACTTGTTCAACGTAACTTGTGTTGTGGTTCTACTTTCTCAAATTCTCTTATCTTCCTCTTTTTAGGATTCTCAACTCAGTGTACACTCCATGTGGGTTGCTGAGGTTGGTTTCTGAGTTTCTGCTCATTATTGAAACTACGTCACCGTCATTAATTTCCTTGATTTTACCTTTGCAGTCTACTATTGAAATAATTGTTCTACTTATGTATTTCCTTCATTGTGCCTAGCTTATGCACGGTTTCATTTGTATGTGTCTGTTTCCTTATCTTATAGTAGTAACTTCACTTGATAAATATTCTATCCCCTTGCAATCCCTTGGCTTTTGCTTTTGGCTATATGTAGCTTTTTTGCTTGTAGTTATGCCCAACACAGGTTTATGTTGTATAAATATGTGTGCCCCATCTTTCATGGTATTAAATATTTTCTTAATGTACCCAGGTGAAGGAGCTAAGAGAAAGAGCTGAATTTTATAAACATCGCGCCCAGGGAACTCACTTCTCCCGGGATCACTTGAATCAGATCCTATCTGCAAACAACAGAATGTGGGATGTGTCTTCTAACTCTAGCAGCGAGGAACATCTCAGCAACAATATCAAAGCACTAGATCTCGCAGGGTATGTCCTATATAGTTACTTATTCTGATTCTTAATTATTATTCGCTTTTTTAAAAACAAAGAAAATATGCTTTGAACAGCAAAAAATACATTGTAAATCCCCTGGCATCATCCCATTGTAGGACTCCAGTCCCTTAGCACTGTTTTTGATCAGTTTAACACTGAACAGGAAGTGTTGCTTAGGTCGAGTGTAACTTTGCCCTAATTATTCCAATTGATACCATGGATGGACAGCTGACAGTGGTCAGCTCATGCTCTTAGCCAATCACTGCTGCCCATCACTGCTCAACACAAGCAGATGCCCAGAAACCCTCATTCAGAGTGAAACGTAAATCTAAAATACTAAACCATGAGCTAATGCCAGGGGACTCCAGACTTGTTAACCACGTCAGTGAGATTAAGTGGCAATGGTGCTTCGAGTGCCCTTTTAGTAGTTATTTAGTAACCCTGGACTCTCCGCGGTACCATGCAATGCATGGTGCATCTCAGTTGAAAAGATAATATTAATAATAATGAACAATAAATCCTAGTTTGGCCTTGTTTCATTGAATTTCTAGGCTAGATACTACCAACAAGAATGAAAAACAACATGAATTGCAAGTGAAATTAAAACCTACAACCGAGACTGGGAATCTTGGGATTTCGGAGAACCCTACTATGCCTGTAAGAAGACGTCTGGTTTGGGATGAAGAAGGCGCAGAGCCAGTGCAAGATGAAGGAACGTTGGAAGTGAATGGGGCTCCTACAGGTTCTCCTTCATGCCCTCCATTGGAGGGGATGGAGGGGGTAGAAGAGAATGGAGAGAAAATAACTAAGAGGTAATAATCAAGATGCTGTTGTCCATTTCACAACCGGCCAGTGCTTCATTTAATTCCTTGTTAAACGATAATGTGCCAGGTGTGCTATTAGAGATTCCCAAACCCTTATTTTTTATGTGACCAGGATAGGACCAGTACTTTTACAGATAATAGGCAATTAAGTGGTTTTTCTAATGTCTACATTGTCACTTGCGGCCTGTTCTGCATTTCGTGAAGAAAATCACATTGCATAAAAATAATTATTTAAATTTCATTCTGAAATTGGTAGAACTATGCAAAATTAAAGGACCATTATAGTGCCAGGAAAACATACTCGTTTTCCTTGCACCATAGTGCCCTGAGGGTGCCCCCACCCTCAGGGTCCCTATCCCGTGGCGCTGAAGGGGGAGGAAGTGGTTAATCCCTTACCTCTTTTCCTGCGCCGGGCTCCCTCGGCGCTGGGACTCTCCTCCCTCTTCCGTCATCGGCTGAATGCGCATGCGCGGCAAGAGCCGCGCACGCATTCAGCCAGTCCATAGGAAAGCATTCTCAATGCTTTCCTATGGACGCTGGCGTCTTCTCACTGTGAAAATCAATGAGACAGCCACTAGAGGCTGGATTAACCCATAGGTAAACATAGCAGTTTCTCTGAAACTGCTATGTTTACAGCAAAAAGGGTTAACCCTAGAGGGACCTGGCACCCAGACCACCTCATTAAGCTGAAGTCGTCTGGGTGCCTATAGTGGTCCTTTAAGTGTTATAGGAACACTGCAAACTCCTAAACAGTGTCCTACACGTATTTTACAAAAGCAAAAATATTCAAGCTTTAATGGCAAAACTTCAGAGTTTGCAGATTCTTCAGTGAGCTTTCTCCAAACCAGGAACTGATTCAGCTAATCACGTTACTCACATAATTTTCTTTAGCTCTGCTGAATATAGCCTCTCCCAGACACATTTCTGGGAAATGTGTTCTAATTGCCAGCTTCTTGCAATGCAAAGCTAACTGGAAAGAAGCAACTGACAGGGTGGTCTTGTGGGTGAAAACTAATAATGAGCAAACTAATTAAAAAAAATAAAAAATACAAAATTAAAAAGAGTAAAATTGTTAATATTGTCTTTTTAAACAGTTAAAATAAAGTGTCCTATTAGTGATAAACAAAACTGAATTAAAAATAAAAGTTCTCTGACTATAATAGTGTAGATAATTTGTTATTGTAGTAAGTTGGTACAGAGGTACAGCAGGTTGAGGCTTGAAAAAAGTCACCCCAAAACACATCTCATTTCAGAATCATTTAAATAATTAAATAGGTGTAGAAAGTGCTGTAATTAGAGATCTAATTATTTTTAATTTCTTGCTATTTAAGTGAACTAGTTTAATTAGTTATTGAAGTTTGTACACACGTATGCATACATTCATGATCTCCTACAAACAGAATCTAATTTTTTTTCTTGTGACCAATGTAGAGAATTTAGGTAAGCTGTAAATCTGCCTAGCATAATTGTAATATCTATAATTACATATATCTCTAGCAGTGACATCTAACTACTTAGATCATAAGTCATAAAAAAATTTCTTTAAGATTACATGCACACTCTTTGACCCAAAAGGACATTCCATGGTATTCTCACTATTTCCTTTAGTTGCCATCATCGTAACCTCTTTTTTTCCCCACTCTGTCAGCGTTGGACTGTATTTGCCCTTCGTTCAGTACTAGCTGTGTTGTGAGTCAGCAGGAAGAGGTGAGCTACACGTTGTTTACGTAGTGGAACCGTCTGTGCAGCCACAAGACTTGATTTCAATTTTGAAAGGATTTTTTTTTGTCAAGTTTCAGGTTTACTAAATTATTCTGATGGAAAGACTTGCAGGTAGGACATTCCTGAGAGGTGGAATGGAATGTTAAAACTAATTAGAACGGTCATGTTTTATTTTTTTGGATCCCTGTTTCATCACAGAACAGACAAAAAAAAAAAGAATCCTTTTAGTCAACCTTTCGGAATTATATTATCATGAAAACTCTTTTAATACATTAAATCGATTAGCGTCATAAATAAAGTTTTTTTTGATAGTGCTATTTGTGGGATGTAGCTGACTTGCACCCTTAAAGGGCCACTACAGACCCCTAGCTGAAGTGCTAGGGGTCTGTATCATGGGTATAGAACAGGTCAGAGTATCATATAAAGGTGTAGTTCTAAATCAAATAAAAATGAGCTTAATTCAAAGCGGCTCTAAATAGAAGAGAACCACCACCAGTATATATATATACAGTTGCAAGAAAAAGTATGTGAACCCTTTGGAATAATATGGATTTCTGCACAAATTGGTCATAAAATGTGATCTGATCATCATCTAAGTCACAACAATAGACAATCACAGTCTGCTTAAACTAATAACACACAAAGGATGAAATGTTGCCATGTTTTTATTGAACACACCATGTAAACATTCACAGTGCAGGTGGAAAAGTATGTGAACCCCATAGACTAATGACATCTCCAAGAGCTAATTGGAGTGAGATGTCAGCCAACTGGAGTCCAATCAATGAGATGAGATTGGAGGTGTTGGTTACAGCTGCCCTGCCCTATAAAAAACACACACCAATTCTGGGTTTGCTTTTCACTAGAAGCATTGCCTGATGAGAATGATGCCTCGCACAAAAGAGCTCTCAGAAGACCTACGATTAAGAATTGTTGACTTGCATAAAGCTGGAAAGGGTTATAAAAGTATCTCCAAAAGCCTTGCTGTTCATCAGTCCTTGGTAAGACAAATTGTCTATAAATGGAGAAAGTTCTGCACTGCTGCTTCTCTCCCTAAGAGTGGCCGTCCTGTAAAGATGACTGCAAGAGCACAGCGCAGACTGCTCAATGAGGTGAAGAAGAATCCTAGAGTGTCAGCTAAAGACTTACAAAAGTCACTGGCAAATGCTAACATCCCTGTTAGCGAATCTACAATACGTAAAACACTAAACAAGAATGGATTTCATGGGAGGATACCACAGAGGAAGCCACTGCTGTCCAAACAAAACATTGCTGTACGTTTACAGTTTGCACAAAAGCATCTGGATGTTCCACAGCAGTACTGGCAAAATATTCTGTGGACAGATGAAAGCGAAGTTGAGTTGTTTGGAAGAAACACACAACACTATGTGTGGCGAAAAAAAGGCACAGCACACCAACATCAAAACCTCATCCCAACTGTGAAGTATGGTGGTGGGGGCATCATGGTTTGGGGCTTCTTTGCTGCGTCAGGGCCTGGACGGATTGCTATCATCGAAGGAAAAATGAATTCCCAAGTTTATCAAGACATTTTGCAGGAAAACTTAATGCCATCTGTCTACCAGCTGAAGCTCGAAAGAAGATGGGTGTTGCAACAGGACAATGACCCAAAGCATAGAAGTAAATCAACAACAGAATGGCTTAAACAGAAGAAAATACGCCTTCTGAAGTGGCCCAGTCCTGACCTCAACCCGATTGAGATGCTGTGGCATGACCTCAAGAAAGCGATTCACACCAGACATCCCAAGAATATTGCTGAACTGAAACAGTTCTGTAAAGAGGAATGGTCAAGAATAACTCCTGACCATTGTGCACGTCTGATCTGCAACTACAGGAAACGTTTGGTTGACGTTATTGCTGCCAAAGGAGGTTCAACCAGTTATTAAATCCAAGGGTTCACATTAGTGATGTCCCGAACGGTTCGCCGAACGGTTCGCGAACGGTTCGCCGCAGACTCATCATTGAGTAAACTTTGACCCTGTACCTCACAGTCAGCAGACACATTCCAGCCAATCAGCAGCAAACCCTCCCTCCCAGACCCACCCACCTCCTGGACAGCTCACTAAGAATGCAGCTTCACAATGAATGTAAAATGGATGCTGTCCAGGAGGTGGGAGGGTCTGGGAGGGAGGGTCTGCTGCTGATTAGCTGGAATGTGTCTGCTGACTGTGAGGTACAGGGTCAAAGTTTACTCAATGATGAGTCCGTGGTGAACCGTTCGGGACATCACTAGTTCACATACTTTTTCCACCTGCACTGTGAATGTTTACATGGTGTGTTCAATAAAAACATGGCAACATTTCATTCTTTGTGTGTTATTAGTTTAAGCAGACTGTGATTGTCTATTGTTGTGACTTAGATGATGATCAGATCACATGTTATGACCAATTTGTGCAGAAATCCATATCATTCCAAAGGGTTCACATACTTTTTCTTGCAACTGTATATATATAATTTTGAACTACACCTTTATATGATATTCTGACCTGTTCTATACCCTTGATATATAGGAGCTTATTAGGTTATTTTTTTTTGATCATGTGATCTTGCGATATATATATATATATATATATATATATATATATATATATACCTGCTGTCTATAGCCATTTGGTATTCAATTTTTACATAGGGATTATCCACAGTACTATATGTATTTCCAGGAGATGCATTTAGTATCAAAACATTTTTAGTGTTTTGACTCTTTGTATCTTTTTCTGTTTTTTGTTATTCATATTGGGGTTAAGCCCCTTGAGACCCCTGGAGTCTCATTTCGGTACCTAAGATAGGTGGACACTCCTGGCACCGTTCCTTCGGGTATAGCACCTTTAGTGGTGCCCACTATCTTATATTTTGTTCGCTTATAGTGCCAGGAAGACAAAGTTGTAATATAAAAGAAAAACAAGTTACCCGCGCTCTCTCCTTAAACCCTATGTATTTTTAAAACAAATGGAGGTTTTTTAGTTACCTCCAGTGGCCATGAGAGGATAAGCCCACCTGCCAACGTCAAGGCAGACCCCCCCCCCAAGGTGGGTCCTAACTCTAACCATTCACCATGCTTCTTTGAGCTTCTGGCAAAAATCTCTAATGAGACAGAAAGGGGTATTTTTTATATACACCCCTATATATTTATTAACCCCTAATAGGGAACACATGAGATGGGCGGCAGCATTGTAACAAAGTTGTGTGATACAAATGCAGAAAGATAGGTCCTGCGCTCACTCCCATCACCATTGGGCGGCAGTAAAGACTACAGTACACATCAGCCTTGACGTGGCAGGCGGGCATTCCCTCCAGTGGCCATTGGAGTAACTAAATGACCTCCATTTGTTTAAATATATCTTTTGTTCTTACTACATATTGGGGCTGATGTGTACTGTAGTCATTGCTGCCGCCCAGTAGTGATGGGAGTGAGCGCCGGACTTATCTTTCTGCTATACAGGGAGTGCAGAATTATTAGGCAAGTTGTATTTTTGAGGATTAATTTTATTATTGAACAACAACCATGTTCTCAATGAACCCAAAAAACTCATTAATATCAAAGCTGAATATTTTTGGAAGTAGTTTTTAGTTTGTTTTTAGTTTTAGCTATGTTAGGGGGATATCTGTGTGTGCAGGTGACTATTACTGTGCATAATTATTAGGCAACTTAACAAAAAACAAATATATACCCATTTCAATTATTTATTATTACCAGTGAAACCAATATAACATCTCAGCATTCACAAATATACATTTCTGACATTCAAAAACAAAACAAAAACAAATCAGTGACCAATATAGCCACCTTTCTTTGCAAGGACACTCAAAAGCCTGCCATCCATGGATTCTGTCAGTGTTTTGATCTGTTCACCATCAACATTGCGTGCAGCAGCAACCACAGCCTCCCAGACACTGTTCAGAGGGGTGTACTGTTTTCCCTCCTTGTAAATCTCACATTTGATGATGGACCACAGGTTCTCAATGGGGTTCAGATCAGGTGAACAAGGAGGCCATGTCATTAGATTTTCTTCTTTTATACCCTTTCTTGCCAGCCACGCTGTGGAGTACTTGGACGCGTGTGATGGAGCATTGTCCTGCATGAAAATCATGTTTTTCTTGAAGGATGCAGACTTCTTCCTGTACCACTGCTTGAAGAAGGTGTCTTCCAGGAACTGGCAGTAGGACTGGGAGTTGAGCTTGACTCCATCCTCAACCCGAAAAGGCCCCACAAGCTCATCTTTGATGATACCAGCCCAAACCAGTACTCCACCTCCACCTTGCTGGCGTCTGAGTCGGACTGGAGCTCTCTGCCCTTTACCAATCCAGCCACGGGCCCATCCATCTGGCCCATCAAGACTCACTCTCATTTCATCAGTCCATAAAACCTTAGAAAAATCAGTCTTGAGATATTTCTTGGCCCAGTCTTGACGTTTCAGCTTGTGTGTCTTGTTCAGTGGTGGTCGTCTTTCAGCCTTTCTTACCTTGGCCATGTCTCTGAGTATTGCACACCTTGTGCTTTTGGGCACTCCAGTGATGTTGCAGCTCTGAAATATGGCCAAACTGGTGGCAAGTGGCATCGTGGCAGCTGCACGCTTGACTTTTCTCAGTTCATGGGCAGTTATTTTGCGCCTTGGTTTTTCCACACGCTTCTTGCGACCCTGTTGACTATTTTGAATGAAACGCTTGATTGTTCGATGATCACGCTTCAGAAGCTTTGCAATTTTAAGAGTGCTGCATCCCTCTGCAAGATATCTCACTATTTTTGACTTTTCTGAGCCTGTCAAGTCCTTCTTTTGACCCATTTTGCCAAAGGAAAGGAAGTTGCCTAATAATTATGCACACCTGATATAGGGTGTTGATGTCATTAGACCACACCCCTTCTCATTACAGAGATGCACATCACCTAATATGCTTAATTGGTAGTAGGCTTTCGAGCCTATACAGCTTGGAGTAAGACAACATGCCTAAAGAGGATGATGTGGTCAAAATACTCATTTGCCTAATAATTCTGCACTCCCTGTAGTTGTAATATAGTTCCCTATTGTGTCTGAATTTATGTAAGTAAGGGTACTATTCACATTCTTTTCTTCCAACCTTGTTGTAGTGTTTGGCTTTGTTTAAAAAATAACCCTATATAGTTTGGAATAAATTATATTGTGGATATTGAAGAAATCCAAGTAATTTAATTCATTGTTTTATTATGAAATAAGTACAGAAATAAAGCACACTACTGCATGAAAAACCAGTGGATATTCCGTACAAAAAAACAAACAAACCACACCCTTGGTGAAAATACAAGCAGACAGACTGAATCCGTTATTGAACTCTCTTATTCATGCATACCAGGTTGGTTTTATCAAAAGTCGACAATTGTTTGAAAACACGAGAAGGAACATCGATTTGATTTCGAGGCAAGTGGCTTCAGGGACCCCCATGTTAGTGGTATCCATAGATGCAGAAAAAGCCTTCGACAGAGTCCTGTGGCAATTTCTATTTCCAGTCTTGAAGAGTCTGGGCTTCCCAGAAGAATACCTAACAATAACGAGAGCGATGTATCACAACGTACGGGCACAGGTACAGATATCGGGAGCCCCACTGCACCCTTTCAAGCTATACAATGGAACAAGACAGGGTTGCCCACTCTCTCCCCTTCTTTTTGTACTAGCACTTAAGCCCTTGCTTCAAGCGGTACGCCGGCATCCGAACATTGCAGGTGGGAGGGTGGGAGACGAAGAGTTTAAAGTGTCAGCCTACGCAGACGACGTCCTTTTGACCATCACAACCCCTCTAGAATGATATAACAGAATATGGCATGGTATCAAGATATAAAGCGAACATTCAGAAGTCCAGCGCTCTCCCGATCTGCCTGACGCAAGCTGACACATCTCGGTTACAGGAGATCTACCAAATTTGAATGGAAACAGACTCCCTGAAGTACTTAGGGATTAATATGACAGCTGACCCTGGGCGTTTATACCCGGCTAACTACGCTCCGATGCTCAGAGAGTTGATGGGAGACCTAGACAAGTGGACAGAAAAACCCATTTCCTGGATTGGCAGGATAAATTCAGTAAAGATAATCATCCTTCCACGCATATTATTCCTCTTTCAGGCGCTGCCCATCCGAGTCACAAAGACGCAACTGATCCCCCTGCAAAGATCTATAGGAGACTTTATTTGGCAGAACAAGAGACATAGAATCTCCAAACAGATATTATACAGACGTAAAGATAGAGGGGGCTTGGGCCTCCCGAATCTCTACTTCTACTACCTAGCGGCTCAATTGACGCAGATAGCCATGTGGCACTCCACACCGGATGAGAGAACGTGGGTGGAAATTGAGTCTATGCTGGTGGGTGTCGATGTTCCCTAGTTTATGATATGGGTCCCCAAGGAACACAGACCGGCGATACGGATAACATGCCCAGCGATACTCAACTCGATTAGAATATGGGACACATGTAACACCAAATACGGGCTGGCATCATCCCCCTCGACCCCAATTCTTAGAAACAGAGAATTCCCCCCTGGCATGACCCCTAGAGATTTTCGCAATATAGAAAGAACAGGACTACAACGGCTACATCAGCTCTATCAAAATGGGGAGGTTGTACAATTTGCAGATCTCCAATCAGGTAATCACCTAACCCCTGCGGATTTCTTTAGGTACGTTCAAATTCGTGATTTCGCTAAAAAACCACACATTAAAACAGCAGCCTTGGGAAAACCCACCTTCTACGAGAGGTTATGTTCGGACGGGGTAGCCCCCAAGGGGATGATCACACTATTATATGCTCACCTTAGTGAAGAAAATGGAGAATGGGGAAGATTGACATACACTGACCAATGGGAGACTGACCTCGGGGAGATTCTGGAGGGTGTCGAGTGGCAGGAGATATGGGAGGCGAATGCTAAAGTCTCAATATGTGTCACCTTCCAGGAGCAGGCATGGAAAACTATGTTTAGGTGGTATACTACCCCCAATCAAACTACATAGAATGCACAAACGGGAGACTGACGTTTGCTGGAGGGGATGTGGAGCCCGAGGATCATACATCCACATGTGGTGGGAATGCCCGAAGCTACGGGGATTTTGGAGGTCCGTGGAGGATCTGTTAAGACAGACGTTTGATAGACCCCTAAAAATGGATCCGTGGATATACTTGTTGAATAGATCTGTGGACGGGTGGACCAAAAGGGAACAGAAATTGGTACACAAGATTACTCTGTGTGCACGCCGAGCAATTGCGACAGCGTGGCTTACACCTGAGGGCCCAGAATTCACAGGGGTTATTTCCAGAATCAAAGAATGTAGAATTATGGATGATCTAACGGCGAGGATGAGAGGGACCATCGCGACATTCCAAAAAACCTGGGAACCATGGGACAATAGTATAGTTGGCTCGAGAAGAGACTGAGGACCTCCCACCTCCGGGTATAAACCTAAGATGTAAACACCCCTATTGAAAGTGACTTGATTGTCAACGAAGTGGCTGCGATACCCCCCCCCCCCAACCCTCACCTCCCTTTTCTATCTCTCTAAGCTCTACTTATCCCATCTCTTTTCTCTTCTTCTTTCTCTCTTCCTCTCTCTTTGTTTTTGTTTTGTTTTTTCCAGGCAAGATCACACGGTCGGAGGAATAATGTAGCTTAAGTACTAGATTGATTAGCAAATATATCGGCTACTTGTACTACTTAACTGCCTGTTTTTGATTTAAACATAAAATACCTCAATAGACTGCGGTTGCAAAGGTATATTAAGGAACGGGCTTGCAATGATAAGGTTGTATTGTATTTCCTTGCAATGTTATGTAATTCAACTGGCTTCCTTATAAGCCCAAAAGTGAATGTACACCTGTTACGTTTATTGTAAAAATAAAGAATCTTAAAAAAACCAACAAAAAAAAACCACACCAAGGCAATGTCCTAAGATCGTTGTTAAGCTATGCAGGTGTTGGTGCTTTCATCACCAAATATGCTAAAATCTGTCGGGATCTGAGTTAAACTAATAGGAAACCAGCGTTCTCCCCTCGACTCCCTATCTGTTCAGAAAGGTTTATTATGCCAAACTATTTTCTGGATCACTATTTCAGTTTTATGAAGAAGATGGCTTTGACAACCAGGACATACAAAATAACTGTACGCATAATTTTATGTTATAGGGCTTTTTTTTTTATGGTGACCTTATGTGACACAGCCTCCTTTTTCATGTAGAATTACTTTTATTGCACTCTGTTTTTCATTTAAAACTATTACAAATGCATGAAATTCAGTTTTTGTGGTGTCTTGTTGCAGGCTGGATTCTACAAAAATAAATAAACCAGACGATAGGTCTGAATCTACCTCGGTTTGTTCAGATGTGACTGGGAGACTTCCAACCCCCAAACTGAAATTATCTGGAAAAGTCCAAAGAACACATCATGATCTGACCACTCCGGCATCAGGTAGAATCTCAAATCATTACACTGGGCAGATAGAAAGTGATTCAGCTTTTGGAAGGCCAACATTGCTGTCATAATGAGTTCAAATATAAAGTCTTTTCTTCAGTGCACTTGTACGTGTTACATTTCATGCTAGATGTGTAGAGTTAAAATATTGGGTCTAATGTTTTTTGAATGATGAGTTCCATCAAACCCCAGAAAGTATTTTCATATTGGCTGGGCAACCCACCTAACAGTTGAAAATTAAACAAAACACTTTACTCAAGGCATTTGATATGGTTCCTCACAATAGGTTAGTCTTCAAACTAAAAGAAATTGGTCTAGATGAATATTCTTGTTCTTGGGTAGAACATTGGCTTAAGGATAGAGTACAACGAGTTGTCATTAATGGTAACTTTTCAGGCTGAACAAAAGTGGTAAGTGGTGTCCCTCAGGGTTCTGTTTTGGGACCCCTTCTATTTAACATTTATAAATGATCTTGAAATAGGCATTAAAAGCCATGTTTCAGTATTTGCAGATGACACAACACTTTTTAAAGTAATAAAATATGAGCAGAATATTGCTTTGTTGCAGAGGGATTTAGATAGATTGGGGGACTGGGCACTAAAATGGCAGATTAAATATAATGTAGAGAAATTCAAAGTTATGCACTTTGGGGTCAGGAATGCACAAGCAACTTACACCCTAAATGGTTGTGAATTTGGGATAACCACACACGAGAAGGATTTGGGAATTGTTATAGACAACAAATTAGGCAGCAATATGCAATGTCAATTTGCAGTTGCTGAGGCCAGTAAGGTTTTGTCATGTATAAATAGGGGCATACATTCTCGGGATGAAAATATACTTTTGCCTCTTTATAAATCGTTGGTAAGACCACACCTTGAATATGCTGTGCAATTTTGGGCACCTGTTCTAAAGAAGGATATCATGGCACTAGAAAAAGTGCAGAGACAAGCTACAAAATTGATAAAAGGAATGGAGGATTTTAGTTACGAAGAAAGGTTAAAAATTTTAAATCTCTTTAGTTTGGAAAAATGGCGCCTCAGAGGGGATATGATAATATTATACAAATATATTCAGGGCCAGTACAAACCTACATAGGAAACAAGGTCACACATTTAGGCTGGAAGAAAGGAGATTTCATCTAAGGCAAAGAAAATGTTTATTTACAGTAAGAGCAATAAGGATATGGAATTCTCTGACTACAAGAGGTGGTTTTATTGGAGTCCATACAGATGTTTAAACAGAAATTGGATAAATACTTGCAAAAACATAACATACAGGGCTATCATTTCAAATTAGTGGGGTTATAGCTGCTTGATCCAACTGCTATTTTGGGGTCAAATGGAAATTTGATCTAACTGCTATTTTGGGGTCAAATGGAAATTTTTTCCTAGTTTGTTGCAAAATTAGAAGCACTTCAGACTGTTTTCTTTTTTTTTTTTGCCTTCTTTTGGATCAACAGCAAAACCATGTGTGAGGAAGGCTGAACTTGGCTGAAAAGTCTTTTTTCAGCTATGTAACTATGTAACTATATATGTAATTTCCTTGACTTACTATTATACCCTACATGGCACTGATAATGAAAGCACATTGAAAACACCTGTGTGTAGACAACATGAAAAATGTGAAAAAAACTTAAATTGAAAGCATGCTCTATTTATTTAAGGCACTGGTTTGTATATATTTAAAATTGTTTCAACTGGAAGAATATCCTTATAATTTCATTGATTTAAAATATTTAATGAAAAACACAAACCTAAGCATTACAAACTACCATATATATAGCTACAGCAACATAATTGATAATATACAGTAATAACAATAAATCATTGTATTAGATGTGCAATCAAATTCACCAAGTGCTTAAAAATGAAATGGCTCTAGGTACCATGACCACTATACTAGGCTGTAGTGGATATGGTCCTTGGAGTGTTCTTTAAAACAAAGTAAATGCACAGGACTGCAAAAGTAAATATGACATTATTAATAATAGCTTGTTGATCTACGGGAGACATCCAACTGTTACTCTGAAGCCCAGCAGATGTTTAAGGCCTTATTGCCTATTTCTTTAATATGTGGGGATTTATTTATTTTCTTCCTTTTAAAAGGTATTTAAAAGGACTGTTAGTTTGGATGTAGTTCTTTGTTTCAGCTTAAATTAAAATGTGTGTGTGTTTGTTTATAGGTGGAGCACTGTTGGTTTCCCCAGCAAAACCTCATTGTCACACACCCGAACTAACAAAGAAGAAAGGGGCATGTGAAGGGCACCATGCTGTAACTAAACCTGTATCCAAGGAAAATCATAAGACGGTAAAGCAGACATTTACATGTATAAATACATGAGTAGAATACACAAAACATGGTGCTGGAAATGAGGGATCAGAAACAGATTTTTTTTTTTTTTGTGTTTTTTTTTTTAATGTAACCAACCCAACCTTCTGTTGCAATGTAATGTTTGTGACATCAACATAAAAGCCTTCAGGCTACCTGAATTGAAACATGACTATATCCGTTATCCTGATCTTGGCTTGTTTACTGACTATGTTTTTTTTTTTCCTATTCTATACGTTAAGCCTGGCCACTCTAAGGTCCAGTAATACCTCTATCTCTTTTACTCCTGTTGCCTACTCAAAAAGAGATAAAAACTTATTTGTTCAAAACAGAAAAAAATGTAGTAACCATTTATGAAGCAGACATTAAAATAGCTAGAGGCATGCAATTTGAAAATGTTCTTTGGAATTTTTGAGTCACATTATAAGCAAATGTGTATCTTGTTTCTGTTCAGCTATATGTTTCTTTTGTTAGTAGTTTGGTAATGATTTGTTTGACCTGATTACTGCATGGATTAATCTAGGTTTTTCAAGGAAAGGTTTTAAATTTCTCAGTAACCAAAAGTTGATTATGGAACTTTGTTAATTTGGTTGTGGTTCAAACAAGCTCGAAATGTAAATTACCAAGAAATTGGCTATGTTGGTATACAGTTTTAAAATGACAAACATCTTACTGTGGTCTGAAGAAATGCTATGAAGGCTCTTGCTAAGCAAAAGTAAGATTTAGAACCTTCCCCATAAAATGTATTCGTTCGTATTATCCGAAGTTTTGGGTTTGAATGAACACAACTCAAAGGGACCCTCAAAGCACTAAAACAAATGATCATCTTAATGGGGTAATATACTGATAACAACTGCCTGGTGTCCCCTTACTCTATAGATGCACCCAACAGTTCCATACCTGTATTAGGACTTACCTGCTTACCTGATCAGGGCCGCTGGACCGGAACTCTACGTGGCCCACTTTCGTAAAGCAATATGGGCACTGCCCACTCTAGGGTCGCATCCTTAAATTACATCACTTTCGGTTTCCGATTGGTCTTGTTACCCAGGAAACCTAATTTCCCTACTTTTTGTGGTGGCAGGGGTGACTTGAACCAATTGAAACACAGCTAACCCTATTTAAAACTGCTTTGTCCCTAGTTTTGTGCCGTATCAGGCTTTCTTTTGTAGTTCCCAGTTAGTGCATTCCTTATATTCTTCTGCATATTCTGGTTTGACCTTGGCTAGTTTATTGGATTTTGTGTACATCTGTATCCCTGACCCGGCTTGTTATATGTTTTCCTCTTTTCTGTGATTCTGATCTGGCTAGTACCTCTGATTACCCATATATGCGTTATCCTGACCTTGGCTTGAATATTGACTACGATTTTTTTCCTATTCTATAGGCAACTTTGAGGTCCAGTTATACGTCTATCTCTGTTACTTCTTTTCGCCTTCCCCAGTTCTGCCTGTTTGGGTGTATTAACTGCCTAATTAGGACTGCCTATTTATGGGATAATACCAGACCCCACATACCAAAATGAGAGGCTTAATGTGCAAAACTCAATTTGCACATATAAGAGAAGTTTTATTAGACTCAGTTTTACAAAAGGAAAGAAAATCTAGTAGAAGCATTATGGACACAGTGAGGATAATATCACATTATTCAGTCTTTCTGTGAGATAACATTTGTATCTCACGTGGGTGGGAGGCTCCTGGTAGGGAACGATGCTTTATGCTGGCAAAACAAGGCAATTACCGGCTATGGAATGTTACATTCCTCTCTAGCAGAGGTAGGCAACCTTTTGACACTCCAGATGTCACGGACTACATCTCCCTTAATGCTGGCAAAGGAGAGATGTAGTCCACAATATCTAGAGTGCCTAAGGTTTCCCACCCCTGCCCTAGTAAGCATATAACAGCTAGGGGAATGTGGCTATGGCAGAAAAAAATTATTTTACTTCTTAATGACAGATAATTGAGCAGTGAGACACAATAGACAAGATCTATAAACCAAAATCACTTCTTTAAGGTCACCATAAACACATAGACAAACCTACCTTGTTTACTCGTTTATTTGTTTTTTTGTGCTTTGTATTTCATTTAATAGCGTTATAAAGTTGAATAAGAAGAATCAAAAGTTTAATTGTGATATTGAGTTTGTGAGAATATAACTTATATTATTGGTTAATTCTAAATAGTTTTTTTTTTTTTAAATCTAAAAGAGAGCTCACAATTTTATTTAGTATGTTTACTTATCCCTTATATTAAACAAATATGTGATTTGTGAGCTGTGAAAAATCTAATTAAATGTAGAAATCCACAGTCTTTATCCAGCACACAGGAAACTCCATCCTGGCTCCCTTTTACCCACTGTTATAAGCTCTGTGCTTTGAATCTAAAAGGAGAAATCAAACAATGTATCTATTTCTCCTCATTTGCAATGTATAAAATAGGTTAATCTGAATTGTGATATAATTTGCAAAAACTGAACATACATTTAATAGAAAAAAGGCACCACAAGCTATAGGTCATTTGCAATGTCTTACGAAATGTAATTTCCAGAGATGGGGCAATTCCCCTTTAACAGTTTATTTAGATGTCTTTATTGTAACACTTTAGTAATTATAAATTATGTAATTACCTTTTCATAATGATGTTTTTTGTGTGTGTATGTATTTTTTAATCTAGAGCAAGGACATGTCATCACTGTCCCCACCAACTGCTGGTATCCGGACTGTTGATCCCATTCCCTTAAGGCAGGAAGACTGGCCAAGTAACCATGTGTTTGACCACCCTACCCCAGAGTTTTCCTATCCCATTAACCAGTCACATGCACAGAAAAAATTCTATTCATTACCACAACAGTGGAGCCCTTCATGTCGTATTCATGGAGCACTGAGAGATCCAGAGTTTCAGCACAACGGTAAATATAATATCTCCTAGCGTTAAACTTAAAATTCAATTATAATATTATTTATAGTAGCAGTGCTTTTAATAGGCATAGACATTTCAGTCCTGCAACATTTGGGGATCTTGGTCACCCCTTTATTTAAACATTAGAGGAGAACACCAAGCACTATAAACACTACAGAATGCTGCCTAGGGTAAGTAGCCAAACTGCTTAAGAATGATTTGACAATTTACTTGGGTCCCACTGAGTTTCTCCTCCCCTGCGGCTGGAAGCTCCTTCCATTGAGCGTAACCCAACTGTTCAGAGCTGGACTCATTGGCTGTGAGCTCTCAGCCAATGAGATACGCTAAACAGATTAGCTCAGTGCTTAGTTAGCTCAGTGCAGCTAACTAACTCCCTGCAGGAGCTTCCGGCAGCAGGTTATTGCAGCAACAAAGATCCAGTTCTTTAAGTGCCAGGGCACTCCTGACACCACAGCCATTTCAGCGGGCTGTATTGGTTATAGTGCTTGGAGTGTTTAAGGGACCACTAAAGTCACCTAGGCCACGTCATCTCAATGTAATGCTATGGGTGCAGTATCCCTGCCCTTTTAACCATGCAATGTAAATCATTGCTGGGTTTTTTTTGTTAGTTTTTTTTTAGAATGTTTGCATTGCAGGATCAAAGCCACCTGTACTGACTGCCACTAGGATCGCTTCTGTAGTACTGACCAAGTAAAACTCAGCCACTGGATGCTGAAGTCCTCTTAGGAAAGCATTGATTAAATGCTTTGCTATGGGGAAGCTTGGGTGCGTACGTGGCACTCGCCTCATATGTGCTATGGGATAAGCTGAAGTGGTCTGGGTGCCTATAGTGGTCCTTTTATGTAAATTTTAAAAAAACAGCCATGTTATTCACGAACTGGAAAGATTCTGTGAGTCGCTGCTTAGTTTAGCTGTTCTTGGAATTTTCTTATCAGTTCTTGACAATTCCCAGTTTGGTAAGTAACTGATAATAATTATATATGTTGAATGACAACAGACTTGTAGCTACATTAGCAATGTCATATACTTTGTAAACAAGTAACAAATTCACCGGCTACTTTGCAGAATGTGTTGTATCATGGGGTTATGGTTTAATTCTTCATTTAGATATAGTATCTAGAATCAAGCTGTGGCTACAAACCCAACCTCAGAAAGAGAGGTTATGCAAGGATAAGCAGTGTCACTGCATAGCTATGTGAATCCGCACTTGAAATGAATGACAGCAAGTACAATCAATAAACGCAATAGAAGAAATTTATTGTGAAAAGAAACAAGCTGACATAGCTGTTTCTAAGCTGTACAGTGAAGACTTGTATCCAATAGAACATCAAACTGTGAATAGATAAAGGGATTGTTAGACCCTCATCCATGTGTAGGTATAGATTTACAGAACTAATATTCAAGGGTCTTGTCCCACTATAAAACATTGATGATCTATGAATGCATTTTACATCTCCTTTAAGATGACAAAACCTTTGAACGTAGGCTTATGTCCCTGTATGCCACAATCTGGCACATTCTTTAGACCAAATCCAGCCCGCAGGCACTATTGATGAAATGATAGATATGCAGTTCATGTATCCAAAAATAAAGCTCAGTACATTTTGGTAAAGATGAATTCCAAGTTAAAGAAGTTGGTTCTCAATGAGAGTAATGCAACTGACCTCTTAAATAAGCTACAGATGCATTTCTAATGTGAAATTTACTCAGCACATACAAAATGAGAAAATACAATGGTTATTGTTGCTGTGTTTATGGCTTTGTGTGTTGTGTTGTTTAGTTTTTTCTAACCTTAAATATAAAACCTATTTTGTTTATTATTTTTTTTTCCAGGAGATTTTGGAATTCCTGCCTTGTATAAAAGTTCATTAAGTGGGGATCAGAGCATTGATGGTATGTATTTTTCCTCATTCTTTTTGTTACCATTAGCTTGTCATGATATTCCATAGAGTCTTTAAAGCTAATGACAAATAGCAAATGGCGGGTGAAAAAAAATTAAACACTTGAAGCAATTCATAATGTGTACGTCTTACGTGGCATTGCTACTGCCACAGATTGTAAGCTCCTTTAAGAGGACTGTTTTGTCTATTAATTGATTGTTTCTACATATCCCCACTGTATAAATGTTAAGCACTGTGAAATATGTTGCCTATGTTAATAATATATGTTGGCTTTATATAAATGTTTGTAATATTCAGTCTTTCATAGTCACAGAGATGGCTCAGTAGTTGGTGTCCCAGCTCTCTCCTTTTGAACCTGCCAGCCTGGATTCTAACAGAATAAACACAACCTTTTCATTTTTTGTTTTATAGCTATTTAGTAGATGTACCCCCAAATAAAATGTGCTTGTATTTTTTTCTGCATATTGGAGTTATATGAAAAAAAAACGCTTGCAAAAGCTGCAGATCTGCTGCCTGTAGCCTGTGCAAGCCCTCCTCTCTTTTCCTGATACAGACTTTCAGTCTGTGCCGAGTAATACAACAACCAGAGACTTCTCATTGAGAAACTCTTTACTGGAGCTGTATACGTGATCTTGGCCTACCAGTACTTCTCAATGAGCTCTAGTATAGGGCATTGAGAAGGGGTAGGGAGAGGCATGCATAACCTAGCTCAGAGCACCTGGCACTTCTGTCTGAATGACACACAGGGAGGTGTCTGTACCTTTATAAACAAAAGACAGACTCCAGGCAAAGGAATATTGCAGCCATAAAACCCCTCAGTTTTAAGTAAATAAATAAGTGAACAATTAGAAGATATGGTTTCCTACTTGTATAGATAATAATTAAAACACATAGAAAGACCAACTTTATGGCTAACCAACATTCTATGATCATGGAATAAGTGAATCCATTCAAATAACCTGATAAAATCTTCTTAATTTTTAGTTTGGTTTTGGGAAGCCCCTTATAAGAGCATTTGGGTTCTATAGCTTAATAGGCAACTGAAAAGTACCCTGAAGGCACCAACACTGTTTCATCTCATTGAAGTGGCATGGGTGCACTGTCACCTTCAGAGAACTGCAATTTTTACATTACAGGGTTAAGCCTGCCTGTTGTGGCTGTCTACCAGACAGCCACTAGAGGCGCTTGCTGCTGTTTCATAAAGTGCACGCATGGTGCTCGCCGCACAAGCACATTGGGTTTCCCATTGGCGTGGAGATCTGAGGAGGCAGAGATTGAGCCAGCGCTAAGGATCTCGCTGGCTCAATAAGGTGAGTGTAAAAGGGGTTTTAAACCGGCAGGGGGAGCTTCGAGTTAGGCAGGAAGCAGAGGAACATTATAGTGTTTGGAGTACAATTTTGTATTCCTAACACTAAAGTATTTCTTTAATATTTTGGCTGCTGGACATTTACCGGATATCTAGGTCTTTTAGAAGTCTTCCTTGATTGGTACCATGAATGTGGTTTTTGGTCTTTTTCAGATGACAGACTCTCACAAATCTCAGCCAGATCAGCAGCTTCAAGCTCTTTTGCGTCACAGGTTTTGGAACGAGCGCAGAAGAGAAAAGAACATTTCTGGGGCAAAAAGTGAAACTTAGATGTGACTGCACATTAGATTATTTTGTAATGATTTTGACGTGGAATCTATATTTTTACTATGTGTTTTTATTTTCTTACTCTAATACGGAAACTGCTCTGCGTGAACAATAGTTTTATATATTGCAATTTTTCTTGTTCTTTCTAAATTTTCACTATATATATTAGTGTATTTGATATTGGTACACACTATTCGCATTACTGCTAAAATTGTCTCTTAAAAGAAACAAAAAAACTGGAGAGAAAAAAACTCTTAAAATCAGGAATGTAAACATGTTTTTAAACTCTGCAGTAAAAGTATAAAGAAATAAAATAATGTATTATTTTGAAACTGTTGTGCTAGGCCAGATAATCACATTTTGTGTCTGAATATCAGAAAATATTTTTTGACTGCTGAATGCAAAATTGAAACTCATGATTACCATTCGATGTCAGATAAAAAGTGAATTATTTATGAAATATAATGGTATTACTTGGAAGCAAACCTACTCTGTGTGTTTTAAAGGGTTACTCCAACAACCACCAGGAACTTTGGATTAACCCTTTAAAATGAATCTGGGTTATTTACCAAAGTGTGTATTGAACGTGAATTCAATGTAAATTTTAAAATTTAGGGTCGGAGTAGCTGAACTGAAAGAATATCTGACTTGGAGAATGTTTCCAGTTTATCTATTTGGACTTTAAATTAGGAATTTTCTTTGAATTCACCTTGACTTCTTCTCAGAGCTGGCCCCTGTTTTTCTTTGTTTTGTTTTTAAATTGTTTTTTTCAGAGTTACACGTAAGGAAAAGTAGGGGCTACTTTTCTTAATGTATTACTCAAAGTTTGACACATCCTTTGTCATTGACCCAGGGACTAGGTACTCACCTCAGTACAGCGCCACGTCATGTCCTGTAGCGGCACATCAGTGGTCACCTGAGGGCAGGTAACACGGCATCTGTGAACTGGTAATCCAGCTATGGGCAAAGTATACTATTTCCGGCTGCTACCATTTTAGAATCATGAAAATGGTGGCACCGGGAATGAAGATGAAGAATAAAGCGTATAGGCTTTTAGCCGAGGGATCCAAATTGTGACAGATCCACTTTGCACAGAGTGTTGAAAAACTGCTCTTACAGGTACAGAATAACTGCACCAGTGACGATGTATTAGCGCATTGCTACTCTGTAACAAACGGATTACTAGTAACACTTTAAAACCCGCACTGACCCTAAGCAACATACGCAAGATGCAGCACTCTTTCTGATGTTTAAGTAGACCTTCCATCTGCAGGAGGTAGGTAATAATTAGAATCAATAGGAAATAGAATTGAATCTATAGAATGTATTCGTAAAACCACCAGCAAATATAAAGATTCAATGGTAATCTTACCTGCAGGTTACCACTGCCTCCTCCAAGATGGAGGCATCGTGGAGGCTGTCATTTTAAAGCATTTGGGGATCTACCTTTTGGGGATCCTTGACCTAGACCAGAGGTAGGCAACCTTTGGCACTCCAGTTGTTGTGGACTACATCCCCCATAATGCTCTGACACCCAGAATGCTGGCAAAGCATCATGAGAGGTGTAGTCCAAAAAATCTGGAGTGCCGAAGGTTGCCTATGCCTGACCTAGACTATGCATAATTTTCCTGTTCCCACCATACAGACACATTCTAGATGCTGGGGATTTTGCACTTAGTCTTGTGAAAGCAAATGCATATTCAAGCTTCTGTTTCAAAGGCTGTATTTTTCAGATGTCATAGAGGTAACGGGTAAAAACAAAATACAGTCAATAATATTTTATCTATATTATTGCAAAAAAGATAATTTGTGCATGTCTGGAAAGCGTTAACTTTTTTTTATGTTTGTTTATTTTTTTTTGTTTTTTTGCTGTAGCTGTAGATCGTACAACATTCTCAAAATGTATTTAGCGTGATTTTATCTTAAATTATATACTTTTATACGTTTGCTTTGTTAGAGCATCCAGAAGTGCTAGTTCCAAAGTGATACTATTTAATAATAACATGATACATGTTTGCTTATCTCATTGTGTGTAGACCATAGTGATGATTATGATGAGTTTAAATCATCCTATTAAATATTTTATTTATATATTTTTTTTCATTTTCTTTTGCTTTTATTCACTCTTATTTAAACCTTTAAATAGTCTAAAAATCAATTTACGTGAAAAAATAGCGGTGTTGCTAATTAATCTGTGTATGATATATACTTGAACATGTTCAGCATTTGAGGAAGTCTATTCTGTACTTGACAGTACACTTAACTGCACTTTTAGAGGACTTTTTACCTGTAAATAGCTGCTTGTGCCTAGAAGACAGGAATATTGGGTTTTCTAGATGCAACCACAACACAGAATGAAAACCGTTCTGAAAATCTTACTTAAGTGAATGTGGTCAATCTTAGAAGAAAATGTTGTGTGGCTGTTTTTATTTTTTTTTTGCTGATGGTACTTGTTAAATTTCTCATGGTAACAAATGAAGTTTAAAAACCCAGGCAATATATTTTGTAATCGAGCAGCTATATTCAATAAAAAAGCCATTTTTTTTCTTTTTTTTGTCAAGGTAACTAAATGTTTTTTAAAATGTATTGTGAAACATGTAATTACAGGAAACCTTTAACACATAGAAATACATCCTTTTCATTCTAGTAAAGTTTTTGCAGTGATTAGAAGTGAAGAGTTTAATTTTATTCAACCCATAGTTCTTTTTAGGTGATACCCATTCTTGTGACTCTCTTGATCTGTGGTTTTTACTGTTGTGTGTGTTTTATACTTAAATAAATCTGTTAATTGTTTTTACTATTTGTTTCTTAATGATTGACCACTTTCCAACTTTTTATATTTTATATTTGATTTCCAGCTCCCCTTTCCAATGTCGGCCTAGATTTAATCATTTTGGATACCGTTTTCCAATGATTTATCTAAAAAAGTTGCCATTAAAAGTTAAAATGGAAATGTATTTCGATAAATTATTTGAAAAGTATTTCCAAAAATATGGAATCATTTAAAATAAATTATCCAAACGTATTAAATCGAGGCCCTTGTCAGTAAGTTATACAGACTAGACGTTACTTGCTAAAGTAGCTGTTGCTGTTTCTCAGCAACAAAATCTTTGAATTACTTGCAGTAGACTATGATAGGACCCTTTAATAGCTGAGGTAGTTACTAACAGGTTTCCAATCTTGTTGCATAATTTGACCAAATGCCACCATATCTAATAATTCAAAATCTGCCTTTGCTTGGTAGAAGCAAAGTTGTTAACTGCAAACTTATGAAAACGTCCTAGAGAGAGCTGATAGTCTTTCTCCCTAACTCTCTATATTAACAAATATAGTTAAAAATGTGAGTTTCCCATGGACAATGAGTTGCCTCTAAATTAGTGACAACGTTTTTATTTTTGTGGCTTTGATTATTACGATGGATTTTTTATTTGCCCTTTCTGGGTTGAAGAAAGAACAATGAATAAAGAAGATCTCCGGTCAAGACTTGAAATAGTGCTAGTATTATTATTAATATTTTGTTTTGGGGGGGTCAGTTTTTCAAAATTTTATTTTTTATTATTAGATGTTTGGAGCCTCTAAAGAAGGATAAATTGTGCCTCCAATTGCCTATTCACTTCTGTTGTTTGACATCATATTTGTACTACATATTTAAGTTAGGAAATTGAACATTTGTTCCCGGCCGTGGTACTCATTGAGGGTTGTCCAACCCAGCATCACATAACTCATCAATAAAGGGTCCATGCATAGTGAAAATGCAGCTGCCTCATTAAAACTATTCATTTGCTTCCAAAAAGATTCCCTCATCGCATTGTTTGCCATCAGCGTGTATAGTATGTATTCACAAGCACGTTATCAAGATTACTGATAAAATATGTGTGAATAGGTATCTGCTGTGCTTAGTTTCACAGAGACATCTAGCTCCTCCTGCATAAGAATGCATTGCACTGAGACAGCACCAGGGCACTCCTGGGATTATAACCAATACACAGGGCTGTAGTGGTTATGGTGCTTTGAGTGTTACTTTTAAGTGAGTTGCAACATTTTTTTTGTGTGACATATCTTGACATGGACTTCTTTTCACAATATTTACTAGGTAATTTTGGATAAGAATTTCTTTGGAGCAGCAACACATACCAACAAACCAGAATGTAGCATACCTTATTCTTAAGTTTATGTCTCGTTATTTACAATATAAATGAAACAAACATAATTATGCGACTTAATGGTGATGTGTTGTTTTAAAACCCAATAAATCATTAATCATCTGAAAAATGAAATGACTTAGGTTACAAATGATGAAGGGAACCACTTGTAATCAGCTTCTTAAATGTTAGAATGTGTAAGTTTATCTTGTTAAAATTCTTTTTTACAAGTCTGTTTTCTGCAATTAGTGGGTTTTACACACCAATGTCTTACTTTGTATCTGTTGTCATGGCATTTATGCAGGAATATATAGCCTTTGCAGACTTAGCTACGTTTAATTGAAGCATCCTTTTCAATACATACATATAATTTTTATATGTATTAAGATATGAAACCGTTCTAGCACACAGACTCTGTATTGTTTCCTGTTACCAAGTGACTGGTGTTTGAACCGCACTACACTTGCTGTTGTTGGCATGGAAGAAAGTACTGTAAATGCTTATCATGCAAATACACTCATAGTTGTGTAGGTTGTTCACGGGCAATTTCAGATGTTATCATGATCTTTGATTTTCAAGTTGATAAAAATTAAGCACTCACGATAAAAAATTTTTGACCAAAATGTCTGCAGGCACTACCCACTAAAGACTTACTTTGAAGTTTGAGCAAAAAGCAATTGAAAACCTAGTTCGAGGTTGGCCGAATTCACCACACACAGTATTTACTAACTGCTAAGTATGTGACATAACATACCCTTCATTCTTAGATACAGGAGCAGGTGGGCAGCAATAGGTCTATGCTGATGAGCTGCAACATAAAAACCACTGACAGGTTAAGTGAATAACATTGATTATATTGGTTAATATGGCATCTATCAAGGATTGAGATATATTAGGCAGCAAGTGACCAGTCAGTTCTACAAATGTGTTGGGAGCAGGAAAAATGTGTGACTTTGACAAGGACAAAATAGTGATGGCTAGACGACTGGGTCAGAGCATCTCCAAAACGGCAAATCTCGTGGTCTGTTCCAGGAATGCAGTGGTTGGTACCCACCAAAAGTAGCCATAAGGGTATTCTATCTATAAGATAAGGCCAGGGACTAATGAAAGTATTTAGAAAATTGGGCAGACTAGATGGGCTGAATGGTTCTTATCTGCCTTCACATTCTATGTTTCTATGTTAAAGTGGTGCAAGGAAGGACAATTGCTGAACCGCCATCAAGGTCATGGGCACCCAAGGGTCGTTGGTGCATGGTGAAAGCGAAGGCTAGCCTGTCTGGTCCGATCACAGAGAAAAGCTACTGTAGCTCAAATTGCTGAAAAATCAATACTAGCCATGATAGAAAGGTGTCAGAACACTCAATGCTTTGCAGTTTGCTGCGTTTGGGGCTGCATAGCCGCAGACAGGTCAGAGTGCTCAATTTGTCCACTGCCTAAAGCGGAAAAGCTCCTTCAATGGGGATGTAAGCTTTAGAACTGTACCATGGTGCAATGGAAGATGGTTGGCTGGTTTGATGAATCACGTTTTCTTTTAGATCGAGTGGATGACCGGGTGCATGTGCATCGTTTACCTGGGGAAGAGATGGCAGTAGAATGCACTATGGGAAGAATAGATGTTTAAGCAGTTGTCTAGTCCTTATCAACTGTAGCCAAACCAAGACATACAAGTTGCTTTTCAAAAGCCACATTTTTTAATTTTGTTTTAAGTGAGTAGACAGCTTGGAGATTTCCCTCCAAAATGCTTTTCTGTGCAAGTTTCGAGAAAAGTTGGTGCAATTTTGCCTTTAGTAGATCTTTTTATTTTAATTATAAAGTTAAAATGCAAACATTAACCAATATTAAGACTTTAACACAACATTCCAACCACACCATTCCTAGCTTACAATATCTGTTTTTCTATTAACATTGGATGAGAGTGATCAATGAGGAAGCCCTGCACAGCTGCACTTAGCTCAGGATAACTGATAGAACATCCTAAGAAGGAGCGTCAGCCTCTCTGTCAAACATAGTGGGGGCAGGGAGCAACACTGCTGGACACCAAGTAAGAAGTCAAACCATTCTCAAAACAGTTTGACTACTTACAATAGGATGCTTGCACCATAACTAGCTATGGTGTTTGGAGTGTTTTTTTAATACTAGCCCCAACATTCCAGTCATGTTATTGCTATCTTCTGCCCTATGTCTTTTTCATTTTCTATCTTTCAAAATCTTAGTAGCTTTGTCACAATTTTCCTATCTTGCTATTTATAGGGACAAGTTAAGTATAAGCAACATAACGACTACAGCTCAGTGTTGGGGTTATGATGCAATAAGTCTTCCGTGGGTGTTGTCCCCTGTCTGTTAAACAATTTTTGAAGGTTTTAATGTAAAAAATTAAAATAAAGAAAATAACGCTATCTCCTTGCCTCTGCCGTAGATGGTCTATTCCCTCTCCTGCTGCTCGGCTAATTTTTTTATAACCCTCCTATATATTGTCAGATCCTGGGATATGATCAGCTGGTGTTAATATCTCAAAGCAAGACAAAGCACTTCAATCAAGCATATAGTCTTGTTGTTACTCAGCATACATAAATAACTATGTCTAATGTGGTTAAAAACATGTTACCTTATAAGAAATATTTGGTCTCTTGTTTATAAAAGTGACCAAATGGGTGGAAATGCAACACATTTTTAACAAGGCTAACTACAGAATTTCCAGTTTCAGTTAATTTAACTCTGGCAATATTCTTGTAGAAAGCATTTTTTTAACATTAATTAATTTTGCCACACCAGTTTGTTATGAATTTAATTTGTGCTGCCAACTTAGTAACTCCTGGGCGTCTGTACAATAACAGGTGGAGAGGTTTACATTTCCTCTGCTCCAAGCAGAGAGATTGAATGCCGTCCCATTGTAGAAGTGAGGTTTTTTTGTTTTTGTTTTTTTTGTTTTTTTTAGTAAATATGTGCATACTTGCTAAGTAAATGGTTATATGATTCAGCTGTAAAAAAGTCAATGCACCTTTAATGTCAATGCACCATTAATGTACCGACACCACATCCATATCATTGTATCCATGGTATGGAAATCAATGAACATCCGAAATATCACAAGAGAACTAATGCAGTGTATGTATACATTATTGCACTATATTTAGACCAAATTGTTTTCCTCATTATCATGATTGGATCATATCATTTTTATTTATTATTATTATTTTTTTATATTCTTTTTTTTTTCAAGTGCAGTGACACATACACAGAGTGACAGTGACATATGGTTAAGATGAATTATGACTGAATTCAGGCTTAGAGTTAAAACACAAACTACCTAAATGAACTGTAATTTTTTAAATCATAGAACTAGTTGCAGTGGAAGCGTTTACATACATGCTTATAATTCCATGTCAAGATGGACAAAGTTTCAGTATCACATAGGTTGAAACAGAGACAGGGCACTTTAAGGAATTGCACTGCTACAAACTAAAATAAAAGGCTAAAAGAAAAGTCATGCTAAGTAAACAAGTCTAGGCACTAATGGAGCATATGTGATTCAGTCAGATGAGTTCATTTAGTGAGTGTGAGGTGTAAGTAGGCATCAATTTATCAATTAGAACAAGTAATCATAACTCCACTAGACTATACGTGTGCCACTGAAGTATTAGACAGTCGTAGACTACTGCAAGAAAAATTAAAAAGAATGAACTGAG